TTGTAATAAAAGTTACATTAAAAAGTTTCCCAGGAATGAAAAGAACTTAACCCGCGCCCGGCTGGGGGTCCTGGATTTCCACGCCCTGCTGGGGGGGGGGGTGTTTGAACACCCCCCCTTGTAACTCGGCTCCTGGGCCACGTAGCGATACGCGGAAGGCGGCGTTCGAAAGAGCGTCAAAAATAATGACGAAATCACTTCGGTCAATTTTTTGGTCAGGTCAAAGGTCAGGTCACCAGAGGTCATTGAAGGCAAAATTTCGCCGATTTCCAGGTTGAATATAGAAAATTTCCAAGAAGCCAACGCATAACTCGGGAACCAATAGAGCTACAGCGCCGCAGAAAAGCGCATTCGATAGCCCTAATAACGCCCTTTCTGAGTAATTCTCTCAGATTTGACCTAACGTCAACGGTTTTGCCTTCAGGGGGCAAAAACTGCAAAAATAGCCGATTTTTTCGGAAACAGTTTTTTGGCAATAACTTTTGACCCAAGCCTTGTACGAGCTTACTTTTACCGGCATCGTGTTCCTCTCGTCAAGACGCATCGAATGAACTATAAGTTGACCTTGAAAGGTCAACTTGAAAATTTGACCTCAGGTCAAGGTCATGACCTGACCGGAAAGGGTCATGTTGCATATCAGTCGATCCGTATCGTCGAGCTGAACACATCTAAGGCGTTTTCATCGCTCTAGCCTGCCTCTATCAAAAGTTATTTGCGAAAAACTGTTAGATACCATTCGTGACCTAAGATGACCTCAGGGCATAAACAAGGGTCACGGACACCATTTTTATGTTCAGTGTGTCTAAACCACTTGTAATTCAGTGTTTGGGAGTGTTTATAATGTCTTTCGTCCAAAAGAGGCGCATTTCAATTTTCTCCCATTGACTTATAATGGGGAGGTCGCAAAATTGACCTGACCTTAGGTCACCGATATCAAAATTCCGAGATATACATTTTATAGATACTGTTACCCTTATCAATCGCTGAAAGTTTCAAAGCGATCGGTCACTCGGTGTAGCTATGACAGACATTGAAACTTTTTATGAGGTGAGGTCACTTCAAGTGACCTGGTGACCTGACCTTGAATGACCTTGGTCTGAAATTTTCACAACATGTGTAGAATTGATGTATGATAAGGTGTACCAAAAACGGCGGCGCTCCGCGCCGCCGTTTTTGAGATATTCGCGAAAAACCACAGGGGGGGGGTGTTCAAACACCCCCCCCCCAGCAGGGCGCGGGTTAAGCTGACAGTGTGAAATTTTTAATTTTTCTTCTGCCATCAGTTTGTTTGAACTCTCCACTCGTCTCCACAAACATTAATTCTTTGTAGAACACTGTTTGGAAAAGTGGCATTTTTGCTCTTGTGTAACTGGCAGATATGACCCTCTTAGATATCCACTCTGATATCTTATTCTGACAAACTGTCAGAGGTTCTCCTGCCCTACCTTGTTGTGACCACAAGCCTGACTCCACCTCTTTCCATCTGCAGGTCACCATGGACGGGGAGCTGTACGACGAGTTCGGCAACTACATCGGCCCGGAGCTCGAGTCAGACGAGGACGATGCCGACGAGCTCTCGGAGCCCGGCCGCGGCCAACTGGTGCCCGCCGGCGCCGACGACGACGACCAGCCGGTCGACGAGATGGACGCAGAGGACGAGCCCGCCCAGCTGTCGGTCGTGCTGCACGAGGATAAAAAGTACTATCCGACCGCCGAGGAGGTGTTCGGAGCCGATGTAGAGACCCTGGTGCAGGAGGAGGATGCCCAGCCGCTGACGCAGCCCATCATCGCGCCCGTGAAGCGAAACAAGTTTTCTCATGTCGAGCAGGACCTGCCGGAGACTACATACGAGGTGGAGTATCTGGCGGACCTGATGGACAACGCGGCACTCATTAGAAACGTCGGTCTCGTCGGCCACCTGCACCACGGCAAAACCAGCTTTGTCGACTGTCTGATGCAGCAGACGCACCCGGACCTCCGCACTCGCGACGACCGGCCGCTGCGTTACACGGACACACTGTTCACCGAACAGGAGCGCGGCGTCAGCATCAAGGCCACGCCGCTGACGCTCGTGCTGCAGGACACGCGCAGCAAGTCCTACCTGATGAACCTGTTCGACACCCCCGGCCACGTCAACTTCTCCGGAGAGGTGACGGCGGCGACACGGCTCTGCGACGGTATCGTGCTCTTTGTGGACGCTGCCGAGGGAGTCAGTCTCAACACGGAGCGACTGCTGAAGCACGCCGTCCAGGAGGGTCTGGCTGTGACGCTCTGCATCAACAAGATCGACCGGCTGGTGCTGGAGCTGAAGCTGCCTCCCCAGGACGCCTACTACAAGCTGCGCCACGTCATCGACGAGGTGAACTCGCTGCTGGCAGTGTACGGAGGAGAGGAGACACCAGCGGTCGTGTCGCCGCTGCTGGGCAACGTCTGCTTCGCCAGCTCCCAGTACTCCATCTGCTTCACACTCAAGTCGTTCGCCACGCTCTACGCGCGCACGTTCGGCTCAGAGGTGGATGCCTCCCAGTTTGCGCGCCGCCTCTGGGGTGACATCTACTTCAGCTCCAAGACGCGTCGCTTCACCAAGAAGCCGGCGCACAGTTCCGCGCAGCGCAGCTTCGTCGAGTTCATCCTGGAGCCGCTTTACAAGCTGTTCGCCATCGTGGTCGGCGATGTCGACACCCAGCTCCCGGCGCTGCTGGACGAGCTCGGCATCCACCTGAACAAGGAGGAGCGCCGGCTGAACATTCGCCCCCTACTGAGGCTCATCTGCTCCCGGTTCCTCGGCGACTTCAACGGCTTCACGGAGATGTGCGTCGAGCACATTCCGTCTCCGCTGGACAACGCCCGGCACAAGATCGAGCACACCTACAGCGGACCGAGCGACTCGCCGTTGGCTGAGGCGATGGCTGAGTGTGACGCCGACGGACCCCTCATGGTGCACACGACCAAGCAGTACCCGACATCGGACGCCACCTGCTTCCACGTGCTGGGCCGCGTGCTCTCGGGCACGCTGCACGCCGATCAGACGGTGAGGCTGCTCGGAGAGAAGTACACTCTCGCTGACGAGGAGGACTCTCGTGTGGTGAACGTCGGCCGTCTGTGGATACACGAGGCCCGGTACAACGTCGAGGTGAACCGCGTTCCGGCCGGGAACTGGGTGCTCATCGAGGGCGTCGACCAGCCCATCGTCAAAACGGCCACGATCACTGACACGGAGGACCGCGAGGTGTACATCTTCCGGCCGCTGCAGTTCAACACGCAGGCGGTCATCAAGATCGCCGTCGAGCCCGTCAACCCATCCGAGCTGCCCAAGATGTTGGACGGTCTTCGGAAGGTGAACAAGTCGTACCCACTGCTGAGTACCCGCGTGGAAGAGTCAGGAGAGCACATCGTCCTAGGAACAGGCGAGCTCTATCTGGACTGCGTGATGCACGACCTCCGAAAGATGTACTCGGAGATCGACATCAAGGTGGCGGACCCAGTGGTATCGTTCTGCGAGACCGTCGTAGAGACATCGTCGCTGAAGTGCTTCGCCGAGACGCCCAACAAACGCAATAAGGTGACGATGATCTCTGAGCCACTGGAGAAGGGTTTGGCCGAAGACATCGAGAACCAGGTGGTCCAGATCGGCTGGAACAAGAAGCGACTCGGAGAGTTCTTCCAGACCAAGTACGACTGGGATCTGCTGGCAGCCCGATCCATCTGGGCGTTCGGGCCGGACCCGACGGGACCCAACATCCTGGTGGACGACACACTGCCGTCAGAGGTGGACAAGTCCCTGCTGGGTGCCGTCAAGGACTCCATCGTCCAGGGCTTCCAGTGGGGCACCCGCGAGGGTCCCCTCTGCGAGGAGCCCATCCGCAACGTCAAGTTCAAGATCCTGGACGCGGTGATCGCCAGCGAGCCGATCCACCGAGGTGGCGGTCAAATCATCCCCACTGCGCGCCGAGTCGCCTACTCGGCGTTCCTGATGGCCACACCGCGCATGATGGAGCCCTACTACTTCGTGGAGGTGCAGGCTCCGGCCGACTGCGTGTCAGCCGTGTACACAGTGCTGGCGCGGCGGCGCGGACATGTCACACAGGACGCGCCCGTGCCCGGCTCGCCGCTCTACACCATCAAGGCCTTCATCCCGGCCATCGACTCGTTCGGGTTCGAGACGGACCTGCGGACCCACACTCAGGGCCAGGCGTTCTGTCTGTCGGTGTTCCACCACTGGCAGATCGTGCCCGGAGATCCGCTCGACAAGTCGATCGTGATCCGCCCGCTGGAGCCGCAGCCGGCCACCCACCTGGCCAGGGAGTTCATGATCAAGACGCGGCGCCGGAAAGGCCTCAGCGAGGACGTGTCCATCAACAAGTTCTTCGACGATCCTATGTTGTTGGAGCTGGCAAGGCAAGACGTGATGCTCAACTACCCGATGTGAGGGGTGTGTGGGCGGTGGTGTCAGATCAAACACGGTGTCAGACTGACGCCCGTGTCAGTGTCAGTGTCGGTTGTGTGATGTGTCAGTCCGCATCACGCAGTGAAGTGTACAATATGCTGCGCTATGTGATCACACCCTGTGTGTACAATACATCTCATTCAGATGCCACAGGTGCGTCGAGGTAAGATCGGTGCTTTGAAGTAAGACGAAAAAGTTGTCGAAGTGTAGTGCTGTGCAAGGCGAGTCAGACATTTTTGGGGGTTACAATATCGGCTAGCAAGTAAACCGTTGAGACTCGCTAGAAATGACTTCCGTTCGATCGTATCTACTAGTTAGTTTGCACACAACTACAATGCTTTTGAATTTCTGTTACCAAAATGCTATTTTCACCCGATGTAATCAGCGAATGTGTAATGCAAGGTTCGCCAATGTCAGATTCATGTAAGTTTCGTCACGATTGGCCAAACAACTTTCATAGGAAATATTTTACACCACATACTGCGTTTGAATGTAAGCTTAACTTTCAACATGAACAGTAGCGAGGCACCGCCCTCCACTGTTTTATACTCACGCTGGTTTTTAGCCTCCATCGCCGTGTCACCTCCTCGCCTCGATCTGCCGTCGGAGCCTTTCCGTGGTCGCCTGCGCTTGACCCCTGCGTTCGCGCCACGGCTGGGCATCCTCCCTCGACCACCTTTGACCTTGACCTCGGCACGGCTCGACCGACCGGCCTTACGGGACGGAGCGGGGGCGCGGAATGGTGCCGGGTCGAATGAACTGACAGATAGGGACGGGTGGGGAGGGACCGCTGATGACATCTACGGGCACTTGAACCATATTGTCTAACCTTGAACTGTGCCAGCTGACGGCACCGCACCTGAATTTTCAGTGACGTATGCGGGCAAATCTATAAAACAAACAGAGCCTTGAGGTTCTGCGTTACCGCGTGGCTTACAACCAGCTGGGACTGTCGCTCAGCCAACTATCGATTGCGGACGCTTTATTCGGTGCCCAGTGGTAGGTTCTGTTTCTTCCGCAGCTGATGGTTGCTTCCAAAAGTCGATTTTAGTTTTCGAAACGCATTCACTTTGATCATGTTTCTGGGGTAATAAACAATCCCCTAATGTCGACAGAAAATGTTATTCTTGATCAAATATCTGTATATTGCATTGATGGAGTGGTACTGGCTATCCAGTTCGCTAATTCATAACAAACACTCAACAATAACGGCATTCAAATCAGTCCCGAAAATTATTATAGTTCAGTTTACTCAACCGCTTCAATCATGCGAGCCAACCGCACTATACAGCGCTCGAAAATTTGCAAATTCTCGTCGGACTAACGATCACTCAGATCTACCATACTGGCAAACGTCAACGCAATAATATTCTCGCCTAGTTTTGAACTGTAGATTGAAGGCAAGACAAGCAAGAACGAGGAATAACGCTGTGACATTCCAAATCCATTTTAACTACGTCATTGATATCCACTCACGCCTCACTCGCTACTTCACACCCTCATTAGCAACATCAGCCAAATAACCTGCAGTTTCCTAAATCTGAGTAACAAAATACGTTCGGCGCCACTTGCTCAAACAATGAGCGGCACGCCTGAATCCGTTGCACCACGTTAACAGGACGGCCCTACATTCAACAATCAGAGTTGCATGTCCGGCAGCGGTGCCAATGCGCACCAACACGAACCCTGCCATCCAGCACCGGGACGGCAGGTCACCCTACAGCTTAGACTTCAGCTTGCCCATCATTTTCTCGAGCTTCATCGCCTTGCCCATGTCTCCAGAGAGCTTCATCTTGCCGGTCATGAAGGCGGCTGCCGGCGCTAGCTTGCCTGGGAACAAATAGCGTGCGGTCAGCGATGAGAAACTGCAATAACGACAGGGAAAACCTATAAAGACAATAAATAAAGACAGGGTTAAGATCGACAGGGAAAACCCATCACCGCCCATTGAGACCCACTAGAGGAACAAGGGTTCTCCCTCTGAGATTGGATCGTACATCTTAGTGAACCGTCTCAACTGAAGCCATAACGTATGCAGACAGAACCATTCAGCAGGGGGTGGGGGTGGGGTTGGAGGGAGTCTCTACAGGGAACTTCTCGACAATCGGGTCAAGCTTATCTCCGAACTGGTTACCCTCATTTCCGAACTTCATCACCGGCAACCACCCTATCATTCCACGGAGCGAGACATAAAGAAAAAAAACGCCATTAGAGGCCACGTACCGGAGAACATTTTCAGGAAGTCGTCGCTGCTCATTTTGAAGGTGGAGTCCGGTGAGGTGGCCGGTCCGCGGCCGCACGAGCCGGAGCCGTTCTTCAGGTCCAGGAACCACTGACCGGCGTCCGAGCCTGGCGGGGCAGCGAGCGGCACAGTCGGATCAGGGTCGGGGGAGCACAGTACCGCGATTCGGTCTGCTCAGAATACGTCTTTAGCACCTCAGCTGACGCCTCGCAGCTCGGTTTTACGTACCATCAATCACTGATGACGGAGGAGGATTCAATGGTAAAGTCCTCGCATAACTATAATCAGACAAATCCATCCTCAAATCATAATGTTCTATTCTGATAAGCTCTCCACGAGTATTTAATTCAAAACAGCTAGTAAAAACGTCATGAGAAGTTACTCACATACTCGTACCTCGTGGGCATATAAAAGCAAAGTAATGCGCAGTAAGATAATATGATTCACATAGTGATCACGCACCTGTGACCTCGAACTGGTAGACGGCCTGCGTGCTCTTGACGATGTCCTCGCTGAGGAAGCCCTCGATCTTGGTGAAGAGGTCGGCGATCGGTCCACCGCCGGCAGCAGCACCCTCTGACGGCTTATCACCTCCCTGGCGGCGCGGCGGTCAGTGAAATACGGCCCGACCAGAGTGGATAGATTGGTAATCGAACTGATCAGTCAGGGTGTCAAATGAAATCTCACAATTCCCATCAAATTACGGTCCACTTTCAGGTTTATCCCAACCCTATTCAAACATTACTTTCGAAGTGTCTCCACCGCTTCCACTCCAACAGACACCACCATCTCCCAAAGCTAGCACGGTGACTGACTGTAAAGCGACTGTACCAAACCATATATCTCCGGCAAGTCAGTGTTGAACGTACCAGTGCGTCGAACTTGGGCTTGCCACCCTGCTGGATGAAGGTCTCCTTCACGCCGGCACTGAGAGCCTCGTCCAGGAAAAAGTCGGGCAGCAGGGTGGCCTCTGCGGGCACACGTCAACTGCGGTCAGCGATAGGACACTGGGGGAGGGGTGGGGGGAGTAACACACCCGACGTTCTGCCACAACTGCACAATCGTATCAACCAGTATCGAACACCCCACACTCAATCGCACTTTATCCTCATTGCCCCCGCTAAGCACAAAAGATCCAGCGTCCATCGCCCCACTTAGTATATCCCAGCCCATCACCCGGCGTTTCAACTCAATATACCTCAGTTCAGCCTCAATCAACCGCTCCTTCACTCAATTGGACTCTATTCCAGCATCCCCCTCAGCCCTGCCCGGCCTGCCCAGTGGCCACTCATTACACCCCAGCCCCTCACTCTTCTTTCCACTGACGATTGACAGCGTACTGGGCCAGATCGGTGACACTCACACATTAATTCCCAACACCACCCCTCCCAAGACTCACTAGGATCGACGGCGTACTGGGCCAGGTCGGTGACACCCACGTCACGCAGCACCTCGTCGTCCACGGCGAAGTTGCCCGTGTAGTTGCGACTGTCCTTGGTGAGGATGACGTACGCGGCGTCCGCCATGATCTCCGGCTTTCGGCACTGCCGGTCCACGTCGCTACCGCCCAGCATCTTCATGGCGGCAGTGATAATGGCTGAAAGGACAGGGGAAAGGGGTGATTCCAGTGTCATGGGTGATCTAGGGTTAGAGGTTAGGGGTGGGCCGTGTCATAGGTCCGGAGAAATAAGTTGCCCGTGTTGTCGCCATATTGTCGGCCCCAAACATTCAAGAATACCATCTACTGGCTCCAAATACATCGGAAAAATATTTAGCAATTAAGTTTTTGGTAAACGAGCCCAGGCATCACGACTACGGTCCATCCCTAGCCAGTAAATTTGCGATACACTTTCACCTCAGTCGCCGCATAACGCATGGCGGGAGGCCATGGAAGAGCCCACATACCCTCCACATCTTTTACCCTGAATGTACCCTCCCCCATCCCTAATCCTACTCCCCCTCTCCACCACTCACCAGTGCGCGGCCACAGTGCGTTGACAGCGATCCCGTGCGGCTTCAGCTCCTCCGCCATGCCCAGCACACACATGGACATGCCGTACTTGGCCATGGTGTAGGCCACGTGGTCGCGGAACCAGCGCGGGTTCATGTTCAGCGGCGGGCTGATGTTGAGGATGTGCGGGTTCTGGCCCTGCTTCAGGTACGGAATGCACGCCTTCGACCTGGCCCGGGGAAGATACGGTCAACCATCAGGCGCAAATGTGCGGTCTCAGCCTGTGAGGGTGCGCAGATTCACATGATGACGATGAGCAGGCTAGTAACATTAGCTGTTCTTACTTCTTACAATTACGCTTGACGGCGAGAATCAGCGAGGTTTTTAGCGAGGAATAGAACCTAGCACGTTCAGAATAAACAGAACCTAATCGGTATACAGCTCGTACCCTCTAGCCTTTGCTTTCTCATAAGTCGAAAGCCAATTCGCATTCCACAGTCAGGTCACAAATCAAGACTTACTGCCCGGCGTCGACAGCAACCTATCGCTGCTAGTTGCCCGGCCCCTCTTACTCACACTAGATACGTTCCCCTCGTGTTGATGGTGTGCATCAGGTCAAACTTCTTCATGCTCGTCTCCAGGGTGCCGGTGAGGCTGATGGCCGAGGCGTTGTTGACGACGACGTCGATGCCGCCGAACGTCCTGACCACCTCCTGGACGGCTCCCTGAACGGCTGACTCATCCCGGACGTCGACCACGCAGGGCAGCGCCTGACCGCCGGCGGCCTCAACTGGCGGACACACACCCATGGCAGACGTTAGCGACAGGCTGGAAACAGGGCGAGAGCGCAGAGGGAGAAATAAAGAAAGCAGCAGGCTGCAGGACGACTATAATTACTTTGTCTGAAGATAATCATGCAGGTCATTTGAGGAGGACAAGAAATCTCGCCAAAAACAAAGTCGGGGATGAGAGTATCTTCCGGATAATTTTCTCAATTATACTTAATAAACGATGACCCACTGTTTCCAACCAGTCATGAAGTAATGGAGCTAAACTCTTGTCACGTGGTATGAAATGAATGATGTAACATATACATTATGAAAAGTTGGTGATGGTTGCCACGGCGCCTTAGCGACATGTCGACATGATGCCGCATTCTCGCCAGATAGCAGTCAACTAGGGGCTCCACCCAGCGATTCAACCGGGCACTGAGCCAGCGCCGACTCCAACGCAATGCGGTTAGGAATGACAGCTGTCATACATGAAGCGAGGATAATGTGCCGAGAAGGACCGCAAAAACATTCGCCGGTACGCCAGAGTAGCCAGGAGCCCAGCCCGTCCTAATGCAGGGTTAGCTAGAATATCTGGCATATTTGAATAAAAAAAGACCTGGAGGATTATGTAGCCTTTAGAGAGCGATGCATGCGACCTACTTTTGCCAGGAAGGTTGCACAATTATCACGAACAGCTAGGTATTATAATTTATAAAAATAGTTACCAGCTATGAAGGGCGTCGGAATGAGGCTGCGTCCGTATAATACGGCTAGCTTCGTTCGATATCGCTCGACCTTTGACCAGGTGGTATTTATGGAAGGAATATGCCCAATCATGCTAGTTCCGACAGGTTTGTATATTTACTCCCACAGAAGCCAGAGATCGCACATTACCCAAAATCTCAGTGTCCAGTCTACAAATCTAGCTGCGTAATCGGGATTAAAGGACTCGTTGCTCCTCCTGATCGAATAATTAAAAAATAATGCTATACCAAAATATGTAATCTGTCGATTAAGCGATAGAACTTATCTCTCATGTTCTTATCTTTGTCTGTAAAATTCGCCTGTCTGGAAGCTCAGTCCTCATGACAACTTGATGTAGCCAGTTCAACCACTTCATATTTGACTTGACGATGTGAACGAATTGCATGCAGTGGACAAATGTCAATAGAATTTCAGTGAACTTTGCCTGAGTCACGACAAATATACCGCTAAGGTGCCGACTCACTCTCTTTGGCGGCGGTGTAGATGGTGCCCGGCAGGGTGGGGTGCGGCTCGGCTGTTTTGGCCGCCACTACGATCTTGGCGCCGTCCTTGGCCGCCTTCAGGGCGATCTCCTTGCCGATGCCGCGACTGGCACCGGTGATGAAGATCACACGACCAGCGAGTTTTCTGGGGTCAGAGGTCACAACAGGTCACTGCACAGTGCACAGCGCACAGATCAGCAGATTGGGATCAAAGGGCACACAGCCCCAGCCAAAGAGACTCTAAGATGAGGAATGATGTACCGAGCTATGATTAATAAATGTCAGCTGTATGTTACTTGATAGAGGTCAATTACTAGTAGGAGGAGAAGCTAGTAGTAGGAGTGAGCTCATTAGGCACAAGTTTTTGACCAAGATATAGAATTGTAGACACTAGACATTGACAGCATCAGGGCTGCAGAGTCCGAGTAAGCGTTGGAGTTGACAGTTCTGAATGGAGTCAAGCTTGAACTGGAAATGGAGTCAAGTCAACTCTGGAAACCAGAGCTGGAGTCAGAGTCAGAGTCACCAACTATCCATGAACTCCACAGCCCTACCTGGTCTGCAAAATCAGAGTCAAAGTTGGAGTTAGTCTGGGTTGACAGTTCTGCCCAGAGTTGAAGTCAGAGTTGGTTTTTGGAAGTCAGAGTCAGGGTCAGGGTTAGAGTCACCAAAATCAATCGACTCCACATCCCTGAACAGAATAGGCACTGGATTATCAATGAAAAACTGGTAGGTTATGTCCTTAAGAGAATCCATTACCGTTCAAGGATCAAAACATTCACAGTTGATTCTTACCCTGTGTTCAGCATCTTGCAATTTTATGGAAAGATGTTCTGAAAAAAGAAATACAAGACATCACTAGGATTCAAATGGTTATCATCAGCGAATGAACAATTTCACGCCACCCCAATGTAGTACGTGACATCACAGCATAGGGCGTAGGCCATACATGATTGCATATTGCAAAGAAGAATAACTATTTCAGACTGGGAAAAATACACCTTATGCCGAATATGTCCGGCGTAGTGGCGGGATTGCGCCGAAAATTTCAGCACAGTCCGGCGTAACTTCGCATGCGCCGAATTGAGCGCATGGTGGCAGCCGAATTTTTCGGCCCAGGACGGCCGCATAAATTTTTGGCGAATAGCGGTCACCAAACTTATTCAGCATGCTGTCTAGCAGCAGATTCGCCCTGCAGGCGGCTCTGAAGAGGGTTAGGGACGGGACGACGACGTCCCCGCCCCGGTCGTCGAGTGCTCGAACTGGCGAGCCGCCCGGAGTCTACTCAGCGGAGGAGCGGCCGCCCATGAGGTCTCCACCCTCAGGGCTGAGATGGGTATGGATTATGAAAGACCTTATTGAACATCGCCGAGCGTCGTAAAGTAAGTAACCAATACAGTGGGTTTCTGCCCACTGCAGTATCGAGGGGAATGGGAGCGCGGGCGACCTGGCGAAACAAGCGGCCACCCTGCCCTCTGACGCCCGCTCGCTGATCAGGATGGTTCATTATGTGGCCTCGCGTCAATGGCGTGACAACTGGTCCAAAAACTATTCAAGCCACTCCTCGGGAGCACGCCGCCGCTCATCCCCCGAGAGGACCGAGGACGCCATTCGGACTTTCGGTGCACCAGGTGAGGACGGGACCCGGGGCCGGGCCACTGGGGCCGCTCGCTCCAGTACCTGCACCGGATCGGCTATCTCCCCTCCGAGGCGTGCCAGCAGTGCCCAGACAAGTAATGCCTATTGCCCCGCGGCGCTCTGCGCCGTGTGCAGAGAAGAGACTGATGTGCCGGAGCGCATGCTGCTCCGCCGCCCAGCCCTTGCTGGCACCCGTCAGCCACGAACACACAGCTCACAGCTGTCAATTTTTGTGGCCCCAGAATTCTGAATTTCCAGAAAGGGTCTTGTTTTGTGGCACAACGCTACAGTGGCCTAAGCATATTGTGGCATTGGGTTTCCGTGGAAACAGAAAACTTGTGCGGACGCTCAAACCTGGGAGAGCCGTCAAGGCCCTCAAACGCTCTATCTGGTTGAAATAGCCTTGGTCGGTAGATGTGCACATGCGCTTTATATAAGTGCCCATTTGATTTAGGCGCATGAGGGTGTCAAGGGCATCCAGCCAGCTTATGGTAGGCCTATTGATGTTTTCCAGGCTGGCAACTGTTTAGAAATGTAAATCAAAATGGAAATAAATAAATTTAAATTTTTTGACAATGAAAGCACGAAATACCTTCTCAATTTTTAATCGTATAAATCTACAATATCCGTTGGGATGAAAGGCAATTAAGAAATCCTAAAAATATTACGTTTATCAGTATCGTAAGCCATAAATAAAAGTGTAAGTTCTGGCACATCCTTACCTTGAGAACGATACAATTATACAATAATCTATCGAAACTGCAGGCACAAAACACGCAAATGAAAAAAAAAACGCCTATATTGATGTCAGCGACAAATGCATCAAACGCGCCAGTCTCGAAACGGAAATTTTGTCATTTCTACGAAGTAGAATGCTCACAGTAAACAGCTCCTGAACCTAGCGGACAATTTTTTTTTACATTTGATCCCTGCTGGTTGAGAAAGTTTGTTTGTAAAATTGACAAATATTATTCAAAATTACTTTAAAAATTGTTTAGTATCACTTGTGAAAGCGAATGAAAAGATAAAAATATAAAAAGTGTAATGTCAAATAATCTTGAGAGGGTAGACATCAGTGGAATGGAATCAACTTCCGACACAAAATAGAACTTCGATATGTTTTGATGTTTTATTTATTTCTGTGGTTATTTGTGATTTGGGGTGAATAGGCGCTTGGGCTTTGTTGTTTTTACGTTATTCTGGTATTAACGTTTTTCTGGTATTTTTTGTTGATACTTGTTGTCGGCTTCTTATTGATATTTCATTTGATTTGTGTGGCTGCATAGTGCATTGCCACCTCTCAAATCAAAATATGTGTGTTGCAGTTTGTGTTTTATCACCCATGTTGACAGTATCAGTATTAGTTAGGTGTATTTTTTATTTACCCTGGGCCTAAGACATCGCACAGGGTAGGTAGGTATTTCACCTAAGGTATTGCTAGGATATGAACTCAAGGTAAAACCAAGGCTATATCAGTAGGCGGAACTATGGTCAAGCGTGCCCATTTTTGGGAACGCAGTCTCGTTCCCATGTTTGGGAATGAAAAAACAATTATGGGAACGCCATGTAGGCATTATTTAAAACAAGAAGAACCGTTAAATGACGTCAAAAAATATAAAACGATCATGAACCTCAGTCCTCAACCGCCTGGTATCTCTGATATTGTAAAGCCCAGCATAGTTTCAAATCGTTCCCCTATTACTAAAGCAGTCCACCACCCGGACCGTGTGCCCAAATTTGGGAACGCTTTTACACTGGCACTGCAAGCGTTCCTTATTGTGGGAACGGTGTACCCAAATTTGGGAACGATTTCACTGACGCCTTTCATGGGTAAGGGTTGCAGAATAATGGTTGCAGATGTTAAAACTGTACACAGGGATTTCTGGATATAAAGAAATGGATGCACGGAGATGAAGAGGATAAGTTAGCCCCGCGTTTGATGCCTCTCGGAAGTCGGATAATGAAGCTTCTACGTCGTCCGGCCAATCCCGTTCAAGGTCGGTGGGGGGCTCGGCTGCGGTTATGGAACGTGATTGGCCGGACGACGTAGAATCTTCTTCGTCCGAGAGACATCGAACGCGGGGTAGATAAAACGTGATATGGGAAGAATTGTGAAATGCTGATTTGCCGTTACGAAGAATGCGAGACCAAATACCTATGAGAAGTGCAGAAGGAATAAAAATGATACGAGGAATATATGGACAAAAATCTGCACCATGAAAATGAAGATAACACATTAGATTGTGTCAGTGCGGTGCCGGTTTCCTCTGGTGTCGTCTACATCTTCTGACGATCCTGGTGGGTCGGGCATGTTGTATAAATGCCTACAGTCAACGGCTGCCGATGATAGAGTAACCTTACCCATTTTGACTATTATCTCCCACCATGTGTTTGCCCCCAGCGTAGCAGTGTACCATGAACCCATTCCTGGAGTCGGAGGAGCTCCCCGGGGTCAGTGCCGCCGCTGCCGGCCCATCCACCGTCAGTGTCGCTCCGACAGCCATGTCGTCCGCACCAGCCGACGATCCGCCGGTCATCTCCATAGACGAGATCGCCAAGAAGCTACTGCGCGAGAATTTCTACCTGACGGCGCTGGAGCTGCACCTGGAGCTGGCCGAGCTCGGTGCTGAGCTGCCGCGGCTGCGCAGCTTCTTCAGCAACCCGGGCAACTTTGAGCGCCAGACGCCGTTCAAACCCGAACTCGGTGGACAGCTCCGTGAGTGAACTCGGGAGTGGGGATGGGGTCTTGGGGACTGTGAAGCTATAAGTGGGGCCAGTAGCATGATATGGGGCTTCCTGTTAATTTATAGCGACTTTATGCTTACCTTGCCTTTTCATTGATTCATTGAAGGCAATTCTTTGCATACCTGCAACGGACATTCAGCTGAGCTATTGGGTGGTAATGGTCAATCAGTATACATATGTGCAAATGAGAAGTGTGTTTTTAGTCGATCGCAGATCAGGGGCGTAGCCAGGATTTCCTCCAGGAGGGGGCCAAACTTACAGGGGCCCAAGGTAAACCCCCTCAAAATCCAAAAAGTCATCGGATTTTATCCACTATTTTTTGGAGGGGGCCCAAATAAATTAAAAAAATATATTTAAAAAATGAAAAAAACGTACTTATGACACCGCGATGGGGGCCCTTTTGGGCTCCAGGGGGGCCATGGCCCCTATGGCCCCCCCCTTGGCTACGCCCCTGTCGCAGATGATACTCTTACGAATTCACGTTTGATTCTGTACCTACTACTTGTGGTGGTTCCCTACTCCTCCACTCAATACCCACAGTAAACTGACCCCGCTCTCGATCTGACTCCCCACAGCTCGCACGTCGAGTCAGGCCACGCTGGACTCGATCGACCTGGGACGATACTCGGAGGACGGCGAGAGACTGGCCGACGAACGGACGGCGCTGCTCGAGTTTGAGCTGCGCAAAGCGCACGATACCATCAAATCGCTACGGGCCAACCTGACCGGGGCGACTGGTGAGGAGACGGGAAGGGAGGGGGTTGAAATTAAGGGTCGAAAAGCCAGCAGACTGAAGGGGAGAGGGTTGAAATTAGGGGTCGAAAAGCCAGCATTATTTGGTGGTGTTGACTGTTGTCTGAATACAATGCAATACATGACTTCTCGTATCCTAAGTCGTCGACTGTGACTACCTTACTTCACTTATGTATTTGCGATATATATTTCGTTAACTTTTCCTTGTACAAGCGTGGTTTGCTTCGTAAAGTTTGTATCGAGACGTTTGTGCCATAAGCCATTAAATAATGTCTCGATTTCCGGTGTCGATCCGGCGTACTGTCCACCGGTGACCTTTCCGTAACCTCTGACCTCTCGTCCTCGTCAGAGCTGAACACACCCGACCACGGCGGTGACCGGCCCATCACTGACGATGACCCCATCAAACCGCATGAGAAGCGCGCTCTGAACTTCCTCATCAACGAATACCTCCTGAGACATGGCTACAAGCTCACGTCGATCGCGTTCTCGGACGAGAACGAGGACCAGGTTAGTGGCGTGAATGTAAACGGAGGATAAAAAGGAATAAGGATAGAGTCGTGTAAGCTAGATATTTTTTTTGTCGTACTACAGTTGTATGTATTGTCTTGCGTGCTGTTGTCAAGCTCACTGTGTTGGTTACCATCGTTTCTCTAATCTCGAGCTTCTTCTAATTCCACGAGTGTCCTGATAAGACATGTGATGCTTGCGAGTTATACGATTTGCATCAATCGCACTTAACCGTCACGTTCCACGCCTGTGCAGGATGTCGAGGACTGGGACGACGTCGGTCTGAACGTGGCCAAGCCGCCTGATCTGTTGCACTTTTTCCGCGAGGGCGGCAGTCGTCCGTCGGAGCCGCCGGCGCCGCCGCCACCGCCCACGCCTCCGCCGGGGACCGACTGCGAGTGTCAGACGGAAGAGGACCCCGTGCACGCTCAGCTACAGAACGATATTACCGCGCTCATGGACAAAATCGAGGTGCTCGAGAGGTGAGCTTGTCATGACTGAAACTGAAGGGTGGGTGGTTTGCTGAGATGACTTGACGTGTAGATGATAATTTTGTAAGATTCGTAATTGAGGTAATTAGTAAACATCAACCTTTTTTGAGTTAACACGTCCGTTCTACTACGTGAAAACGAAAGTGCGATCCTACGCAAAAACCAGTGCCAGTCAAATGGTTCGGTAAACACCACACTTATTTCGGGTAATCATCGCATGACAGCAACTAACTGGACAATAGCAGCTGCCACCCCTGGGCCCTGCCTAACCCCTGCGTCTCCGCTCGCCACCAGCCAACTGAGCGCGGTGCGCTCGTTCGCCGCTGACGCCGCCGCTGCCGCCGATACGGCCGAGAGCGTCATCCACGGCGTCAGCACGGCGTCACCGGCCGCTGACGGCGCCGGCGACTCGACCGCCTCGGGTGACGAGTCGCTGGAGAGCGAGCTCGCCCGTACGGAGAGCCAGAACCGACTGAACACGCTGAAAATGGCCGGTAGAGAGGCGCAGCCGCCGTCACCGGAGAACAGGTGGGCTCGAGCTGCCGCTGACACGCACAGAGAACGCCGAGCATTGGCAGGCTAAGGGGCGTGTCCATTGTCAGTCTGCTCTATCAGCTACAGTTGGAGCTCCATATGAGTTGTCATATGTCCCTTTTGATTGCACATGATTGTGACTGGTTGTGTGCGCCACAATGGAATTGTTGGTGTCACTTCCAACCAGAGATGCAGCTGCTCCCCTCCCGTGATTGTCAATCTACGTCAGGCAGGTACTTGAGTGTCCCACCCCAATTCTGACCCCGTTCCGCCCACCCCTCCGTCAGTGCCGTACCGGAGCGCTTCCGACGTGCAGTACTGGCGGCCTGTATCCACGAGCAGTCGGAGGGAGCAGCCGATGAGACCATTGAGCGACTCCAGCTGGAGGTGGCCCAGCTGAGCAGTTCACCCGAGCAGGCGGTGCTCCAGCTGGCCCGCTGTCTGCCGCACATTGTGCCCAACGTCATACTGGCCAAACGGGAGGTGGGAACGATGGTAGACGGCGAATAAGTGCGGCGTTGGGGCGGCTCGAGATTTTGGTGGATTGGGATATTCAAATTTAAATATTCAGTAACGTTGCCTGATCTGATTTGCTATTTAGTTCGTTTTTAGTACCGATTTTTCAAAGTACTGATATCTTTAAAGGGACTATCCCACCTTCTAAAATGTTGTTAAAACCAGTTAAATTGTGCCCGACTTTATAGATTGGATGACCAGGAACACGGTTCTGGCATTTATTTTTCATTAAACATCTTAGGCTTCCCATATTCCAAACACAAACTTTCAAATATGTGACGTCACAGCCCAAAATTACCTCCTTCCCCAGGCCACATTACTGTCATAAAGCTGATTATTTTTACTCTGTAGGCACCACAACAAAGTTCAGACCAAGTTTTAAGCGATTTTTCAACGAACAAACCCATTTAAATCAGAATGACTAAACGAGGTGACGTCACACTAACGGTCGCTCCATGTTGAAGATAGGGCCTTGTACAAGGCCCATTTTCAAATGAAGGGAACGAATTTCTTCAACACCAAGAGGCCGCGGGGGTTGCAACCTAGATAGATAGTGGTTTCTGAACCTCGCCGCAAACTTGGCTATCTCAACTCAAACCCCATGTTAAAGGTGGGATAGTCCCTTTAAATGCCGATATTATATAACTACCGATATTCTATGCGTATAGAATTGATGAGCTATACGAGGGTGTCCTTTATAGAGTTGACCTTTCTCAGTATCAGTCCCGCTCCCCCATCCACGGCCAGGGTCTTATTATTATATTCCTCTCCCGTAATTCAGCGCCTGATGCGGTTCTCTGCTCCAGGAGCTGATTCCGCTGCTGTTGTCGGCCATCCAGCTCCACCCGGACGTCCGGCAGCGGGACGTGCTACTCAACCTGCTGTTCAACCTCATCAAACGGCCTGACGCCCAGCAGCGCGCCGTCATTCTGGCTGGTGAGTCACTGGCCGTCACTGATCTTCACAGCTGGCCGTCGCGGCTGGTAGTCGCTAGTCGCTAGTCGCTAGTGACTGTTACTGACCTTTACTGGTTATCACTGGTCATCAAAGCCGTCTCCAGAGATAAGTAACTTTCAGTCAGCAGTCAGCGACGGTCACTGATCGTCACCCGCTAGATGCTGTCGTTGGCGCACGCTGTGTTCGGTGCATACGGTGACGTTCTTTGACTTAGCTGATAATATCTCTAATGATGCTGTTTTTTTCTGACAGGGTTCCGGCTCCGCAGTCTGGTGTCCCGTCTGTGTCCCAACGGGCCGCTGTTCTGCGTATCATCAATTATGTCTTTTTTTCTGTGACAGGGTTCCGGTCTCTAGTGGCCCGCCTCTGTCCGGGTCGACTCGAGGAGGAGGTCCTGCCGCAGTGTTGGGAACAAATCAGTCACAAGTACTTTGAGCGTCGGCTGCTGGTGGCTGAGGCATGCGCAGTGCTGGCGCCCTTCATACCGGTAAGGACAGACTCGAGTGAGGGCTCTAGTGTGAGATTTGTATCGAATGGATAATCAAAGGCAGGCGTGCACCTGCTGTCTGACTCTACATGACCTGACCTGACCTTTTTAGTCTGAGCTGCACGGCTCGCTGGTCGGATTCATGCTCCACCAAATGGTGACCTGACCTGACCTTTTCAGCCTGAGCTGCGCGGCTCGCTGGTCTGGTCGATGCTGCACCAAATGGTGACGGATGAGAAGGAGGCGGCTGTTCGAGAGGCGGCCATACGCAGTCTGGCAGTGGTGCTGGTTCATTGTGACGATGACGACAAGTTCTCACAGGTCAGTGGTGCCTACACCAAACGAGTGGGACCCAAGCTTGGGCTTGATTATGCTTGTGGAAGAGAGAGGTTCATCGCTTTTACTTACTGCCTTTATCGCAAACTGCCGGGACCTGTTGTGTTGATCGAAAGGACGTAACTTTAAGAACGAACTGATGGAAACTGATTGATTACGCCTACCGTCTTACATAACTATTTTTTTAATGAAAGCTGATTCACTTCCCTCCCCAACCGTCTAACCTAACCTGCTAGTGCCCTCCTCACCCCACCTTCACAGTCCCCCCTCCTGAGCCGTGTAATCCAACCCCCGTCCCCTCCGTAGACGTGTGAGCTGGCCGCTGACCCCCGCCCCTCTCCAGGCCTGGGATCTGACGGCGCGGCTGCTCGAGGACCGCTGTGAGCCGGTGCAGCGGTCGGCCGCCGAGCTCCTGCTGCCCGTGGTGGCTCGCTGGGCCTCTCAGCTGGGACGGCTCTCCGACCGACTGGTGCCGCACGCGCTCAACGCCGCACGACAGGCCGCTCAGGTGTGTTGTTTGTTTGATTATAAGGGCTTAGGGGCGCGTCGGCTCAGGTGTGTTCTGCAATGGGCTGGGTTGTAGGGGAGGGATTGGTGTGTTGTGTAGGCTGTAAGCTGTTGACTGTCCACGGCGTATGGGTGGAGTTGCCTGATGACAACGTACGAGGTGTGTTAACAGTCCCAGGATAACGTCATTTACCGTGTGAGCTGGGAGTCGTCTGATGAGCATATGTACGGTGTGTATTCTCAGTAGCGTTTCACTACATAGGTTTGCGTATGTTCGGATTAACCTGTTCCCGATTTGTGTTCCGTGTACGGGTGTAACTTTTTGACTGTATTTACATTATATGTTCTAACTCGCCTGTCACCTAGAGTTGCGGCATGTGTTATGTTTCGAAGTACCCCGATGACCGTGTGTGTGTTACTTCACATCGTCGGTCGGCCGACTGGACGGTTGCCGTCTGTACCGTGTATGATGTGCGTGCTCTCAGTATAACCCGCTGACTGTGTGCACCGTATGCTATTTTTCAGTGCCAGCCCGCCGACTGGACGGTTGCCGTCTGTACCGTGTATGATGTGCGTGCTCTCAGTACATGTATAACCCGCTGACTGACGTGTGCACCGTATGCTATTTTTCAGTGCCAGCCCGCCGACTGGGCGGTGGCCGTCTGTAACGTGTATGATATGCGTGCTCTAAGTTTGTCCCGCTGACTTTGTGTGTACCGTCATGTACTGTTTGACAGCGCCAGCCTGCCGACTGGACGGTGGCCGTGTGGATCCAGGTCCTCATCACCCTCCTGGACCAGGCCTTCCTCTGGGTGATCTCGGCCGGCCCGCACCTGGACAGGGTGGAAAACGACTCCATGGGAATCACGTGTGAGTCACAGCCAAACGCTCTGACGTAGTAAATAATAATTGTAGATCGCGGCGGTATCCGCTCACAATTCACATGTTGTGTCACCAGATGCGTATTAAGATTTATTCGCCTAACAGTGGTTATTTGTCCGGCTGTATCTAAACGTGTGATCCACCTTCACGGGGTTGTGTTGATCCCTGAAAACCTGGATGCATGGTAATTTAACTATTTCCGCAACACAGCCTGAGTGTACACGATTTATTCCTGCTCTCACCCGAAATAATGCCATTCATTGGTTGTTCGTGTGCCTCATCGCCTCCATCCCCAACTCCCCGTCTCCCTTACCAGACCGTGACCTGACCTCCCCCGTCCCCTCCCAATACCCACAGCGGACCGGCTGCCGCCTCAGGATGGCCCTCTGTCTGATCTTAAGGTACTGCACGGATACGGCCGGCGGTTGCGGCATATGGTGGCAGCATTCGACGAGTATGTCACCCAGGAGTGGTACCGCGTCTGGCCGGCCCTGGAGTGGCTCACCAATGAGTGGTAAGGACTAGGGAGGCCGGGAGGGGTACAGGTGTTGGTTATATGTCACCCAGGAGTGGTACCGCGTGTGGCCGGCCCTCGAGTGGCTCACCAATGAGTGGTGAGGATACGAGGGGACAGGGTTTCGTTACCATGATGAGTGGTAGTTTATTTATTAGTGGTTAATTTATGATGAAGTGACGGTGTAAAGACTAAAGAGGGAGTGACAGGGACACGTCTATCCGTGGAGTGATGTCTATCCGTGGGGTGTCGACGGTTAGTAGTACATCTTAATACACTCTTCTCTTATATGTGTCGCGACATCTATTGAACGTGTTACATGAACTACGTGACGTGTTACGTGGCCGGTGCCCGTCGTCCTCCGCCAGCGTTCCGGAGCTGTTCCGGCTGGCCGAGGTGCTGCCGCTCTCCTTCCCTGACGCGGTGTATGAAATGGCCGCCCTGCTGCGGCACACGGCACACCTGGTTGGACCCACCATAGCCGATACTAAGGTAAGGGAGAAATAATGCCGTGATTATGAATGTCCCAGCAGCACACCATGTCCTGTTCAGACCCACTGTCGCGGAACTGAGGTGTGATGATGCTCCTACGAGAGATTCTACCACGAGGATACTTATTCGCGAAAGTCGCCGTTCTTTTTTTCAGTTTTATTTTATTTCTGTGTATTTTTTGCCTCCTCAGTGATTCCAGGTGATTTGGCTGATTTTATCGTGTACTAAGGTGGCATATGAGGCATGTTCCATCTACCACGGTCAGAATGGTTAACAACAAGCTGATGTATCCCAATTCCCGCCTCTCTCCCCCCTCAGCTGTGGCCGTGCTGTGAGTCGCGTCTGCGCGGCGCTGCGGCCGCCGACGCCCCGCCGCCGGGCCTCACCTCTGCGCTCCTGCCGGCCGTGTGCGCCGGACTGCTGGCGGCGCCCCTCCCCGACTCCGACGCCCGGCTGGCGCGCACCCTCGAGGATGCCCTCTACCTCAGCGCCGCCTGCCGGCTGACGGGCGAACCTCTAGCGGCGGCGGTGCGGCTGCTACTGGAGTATCCGGAGCGGCACGCAGCGCTGCTGGACCTCCTATGGAAGGGTGAGCAGATGGGGCCGGGGAGGGAAGCAGGATGTAACGATAATGAGGGTGAATATAATGGGAGTTGTTACTTATGAAGACTTCGGTGGTGGATTCCGGAGAGGGATCCAGCAAGACCAGTTGTTTTTGTGTGATCAGTGAATGCAGCTGGTTTTCATGTTATTTGGTTGCATGCTTATGATTATATGATCTACGAGACTTTCCTTACAACTGACGCTCTAAACTGGTCCCAATATTCATGCCATAGTTATAGAGCTTGTATCCTGCGCGTCTCGCCCCCAGGAGTGATGCACTCGGTGGTCGAGGTGCGGGAGACGACCGCCCAGCTGGCCGGCATGCTGGTCCCCGAGGTGCCCGAGACCGTACTGACGTCCCGCGTGCTGCCGGCGCTGGTCACACTGGCGTCCGACCCGCAACAGTGAGTAAGGCGGCACCGCCTCCCAGGGCTGCGGAGTCGGAGTCACCGGGAAGCCATCCCTGGGGTCGAAATGACTGATGCTTGAAATTTGAATGACAGCTTCGGGTGGTACCGCGAAAATCAAATTGAAGTGCCGTGATGAAGTTTGAAATTTGAATGACCGCTTACCGCGAAAATCGTGGCTAGGTTCAAGGACCAAGGTGCAGAATGTTATGTTTTCATCCATGATACGTGTCTGGCGAAAACACTGGCCAGTGTGGGGGTCGAACCCACGACATTCGCGTTATTAGCACGACGCTCTAACCAACTGAGCTAACCGGCCGGCGATGTTACGTTGCTGAATTTTTATAAATATCAGAAGAAAGGTACCATTTGCTTCCCAATTTTTTTTTGTAATTATTTTGAGCGCACTTTTGATCTCTTTTTCTCAGCGACTTATGACTGTCGACCACTCCTAGCACGAGTTCTAAGCTCAAGCTTTTACCCACCAGTCACCACGTCCACAGTCTTTCGCTCGCAGTTTGACTAAGTGCGCGCCCGCCGTAAAATCAAAGTGACCCTGGACCTCATCTCAAGAGCCTACTTCCTTCCACAGCGATTCTCACCATCTATCTCTGCCCCCAGCACCCACCATATCCCTCCCCAGCACCTGTCTGTCTGACTGTTTCGTCCCCTCGCCAGGCTGGTGCGGCGCGCGGTGGTGCCGGCCCTGGGCCTGGTCCTGGAGACCCAGCCGGGCCGGGAGCCGTCTGAGAAGGCCCGTCTGCAGGTGACGGCGCTGTGCCAGGACGCGGCGCTGGCCGGCCCGCTGGCGGCCGCGCTGGGCCGCGCCGCCGCCGCCGGCCGGCACACAGAGTTCTGCCTGTCGCGGCTGGCAGAGCTGGCGGCGCGCCGCGCGCCCGCCGACGCGCCCACCCTGCTGGACGCCTACACGGCGCTGGCCTGCGGGCATGTGGCCGGGGAGGCCGTCAGCAGGGACGTCCTGCCGGCGCTCAGGTCGGTCATATGTCTGCTTCACTCTTGGTAAACACTACGTCTTATTGTTATATTAATTGTAACTCGGCTCATTTCGTTGGCAATTGAGTAAGCTGACAATCAGCTTTGCGTTTGGACTTTCGCTTTAGGTTTTTGTTTCGTACTTTGTTCTCCATCATGCATGTTATAACGAAAGGTGGAAATCACAGAATGAAGCAAATCTACCTGCGGTGCCGTTAATTTTCGATTAAAGTCATCATCGATGCACCGGGCTCGGGCAAGGTCGGTGGTGGTTCTGTAGTGCCATTTGCAATAAGCACTGCTTAGCGGGTCACCCTGGCGCGTTTTTCATTATTTAAAACTTACCAAGTGCCAACGAGTTGACATGCTACCCAGCGCCTCCTCTTCGTTGACGTTATATTTAGCTATCCGACGCCAGGGTATATTGAATCCGACGCAAGCATGCGTCCAGGAGACCAGGTTTGATTTGAACATTATTGAGCACTTGATGCCCGAGAAGTCGCCGTGGCTGACAAGGCATAGATATCTAATGCGCAGAGGCATATAGATCTTATATCATATAAAGAGCTCTATGTGGTCAGGGTCACGGACTTTTGTACTGTGAGATCGGTGGATCGAAATTCAAATCACATTAACATGCCGGCTACTCAATGTCGTTCACGTTCGCAACGGTGTGCGCCTGAGAAATTCAGGGTAAGTATTTATCCAATGAAGGAATATGTTGCAAAAGAAAAGGTTGCACCATGTAACCGAATTACCAGTTTTGTTACCTACGGCTCTATCGATATAACTAATCCATGGTCAAGCCTTGTCAAACCAAAGTCCAAGATTCCTTTACCCCAAGCCACTGGGTAAAGGCTTTCCTTTACCTGGATTTGGTAGCAATAATTTGGATTCTCGTAAGCGGCGACAGATATTGCGCGAATGTTTCGTTTAGCTTGGTGTGTGTTTGGCGCGCTTGGGTCTTTGCTTGGGTCTATCAGTTGGTGACATACCAGGGAAATAAGCTTAAATTAGAGCGCTCTATTTATTGCTCCTGCCCCATGTTGAAGAGATACCCCTAAAAGCGTGATCTTTTATCGGCCCTTACGCAGCAAGGCAGTACTTCTCAGACCGGTGGATGGTATCTATAGAAAGAGAATGCGTCAAAGATTAACATGAATTAATTAAAATAACATTAAAATGTTGATTAAGCGTGTAAATTAGTCCCAAACATAAGCAAATTATTGCTCCTACCTCGGCGACGGCGCTCCCCGCAGTCAGCGGAGAAGCTAAAATAAAAGCCACCATCCTCCTCCGTAAGTCAATTTTAAAGCGGCCGAGTGGACCGATGCGGGGCCACCAAACTGAGATAAGACGTGGCTAGCAATTGCAAACCGCCATAGAAATCAATATTAAGACGTACAACATGGGATGATTACTCTGAAGCCGGGGTGAAAGCATGAGTACCTAGATAGGAAGAAACGAAATGCATAGATTGGTTGAATTATGTACAATAGGCACAGCTCAATAGATGAAGCCATTTCATGTTGACATTTGACATCATAACCCTTCCTCCCCTCACCTATGACCTAAGTGCATTGGCAGTTGCCGGCATAGTTTTTGCGCACGAGTGTAATTCGCCATCGGACCGCAATGCATGTTGCTAGGCCGCTGCAATTACAACGAACATACGAATACTGCCTTCATTTGTAGACGTTTGTTTTTTAGGCGGTCTTTGACGTACAAGGGGGCATACCTGTCGACAACTTGAGTTTCTCCGAATTTCAAAAACTCCCAGAATTTCAATTCCTTATGCACTGTTGTAGGTACAGCTATGTTCACAAGTTTTCGTTTCCTCCTGTTCTAAAAAGGATGATATTTGTCGATTTCGTGCGTCGCTGATAGGAGGGTGCGTTTAATAATTAGGCCCAACGCTATCTGCATCCGCGAGTACCTTCAAAAGGGAACAACAGTTTGTTTCCATTTATTACACTATGGGACATGTGACAAAATGACCACTGGAACACGCATGAAACGGAGCTCATATTCCTAAAAATGTCTACAATCACTTCTTTTCTGACAATATTAGCAAATACCATCTCAAGTTAGGTGGTTGACAGACAGCCAATGGAGATCTGGGGAGACTGAGTGATGCCAATTCACCACTTAACTGATAATGAGGGCTGAGGGGAGAGAAACATGCAACATGCACAACTGACAACTTGACAGGTGACAAAACACTACCACTATTGTGCAGTGCACAACAAATTACAGCAGCCAGCCCCAAAAAATGCTTTTGGTGGCTAATAACCAAGTCACTAATAAATGTCTTATGTAGTTGCAGCTGAACACTGCACAATGATCACACTGTTCACGCATTGAGTGAGATGCCACAGGTGGTTTGAATCACACTTTGGTACAACTGCAAATCTGAAGTGTTGTCATGAGGTTCATGCCTCCATGATCACAGCACTTTGGTTGTGGTTGGCATAACACTTGTAGTCTGCAGAGTTCCACATGAACTGCAGACACCTCATCTGGTGGTCTTCATGTTGCTCAACTTCTTCAGGAGGCAAATGTCGACCACTCAGCAGAAGCATGGTCCTGCAGAAAAGAAAGGTAATGCATAAGGTACAAACATTATCTGCTGAAACAGCCCCTTCTGTTGGCTGTTATTAAACTTTTAACATAACATAAAAACATGCATTCCATGTAGGTATATTACATTTGTTGAAGTAAAATTCTGCCGGCTATTTCAAAACCAGAAAATAAAATTATATTGTGGCATAATTCACATGCTCAGCCATCAGTATCAAAAAATAAATTAATTTAAAATTTGGCATATTCTATTAAACACATTCATAGAATATTCTACTTCACGTCATAAGGACTCGCAATCTTTCTGTTGGGTGTTTGATTGATGCATTAACTAAGTTTGTCTTAGGTTTTGTTATTGCAAAAAATTCATATTGCATTATTGTATCAAAATACTGCCAGCAATAACAAAAGAAGAACATGAAATGTGAATGAGCAAGCCGCCTTTCCTAAAAAAGGGTTACTTTGAAAAGAATTTTAGTTTCTTTTAAGGAAAAGGAGAAATGATTATCAGGTAATTATCAGAAAACCACTCAACCAGCAAGTGGCTGGGTGGTTTCACAGCAAACATGAAGCCAAAACATATACTTACATTTATCTAACAATTCAGCCATTTGACTACTACAAGGATATGTGAGCAGAATAAGAATCCAATTATCCAATGTTGACTTCCTTGCAAAGTTTATGCCTTATTTTATGAAAATGTGTCACTAGAATATGATACTTATCATCGAATATTATTTAATTTACGATTTATTTCGATCGAAACGCAAATGGAGTCCCGCGCCATTTTCGTCGACGATGAATATGATCGTGTTTCATGAAGAGATAAGGGGTTTCAATGGTCTTTCAAAGCAATAATTTGATGCAGCTGGTTCAAATGGCCATCAACCATTTAAAACACCGAAAATACTCACAACTCCGTCCCAACGACCACACAGCACCGCGCACGCCACACAACTGGCATCAAACTGGCATAATGCCAAAACTGCTGTCACAGCAGAAATGTTTTTTTTTCTCGATTGCAATTGTAGAATTATTTATTAAACAGAAGATGATCTTTCCGAAAAAGCGACTGATTTCATACACAGATGCATGGAAAATAAAAAAAATCCCGGTAAGTTTATTTGTATTGTTTTGTCGATTTTGACATGCTCCTAGTTTGCAGCCATATTTCGATATGTTCTACAGGGAGTTCAGAATTATTTCAGGACCAATCTTTTCCTCGTTCATTTTCCCGTCGATCATGAAATTTTTAGAGCGGAACAATTAGTTTCCAGGCGGTCCGAGCGGTTTTCGTGAGAAGGGTGCAAAAATCGGCGTCATTTTTAGAGCCTCGACACCAGCTCAACACAGGACCCTATGGGAGACGGTGAAGTAGCGGAAGCAATAAATAGAGCGCTCTAATTTTAGCTTATTTCCCTGTAGTGTCACCGACTGCTATCGCTGTTGTATTTGCGCTGTGTATTTTGATTTGAGCAAGATACCTATATTGATATTTGAGCGTCCTATTCAGCATTGGGGGTACTACGGATTGTGCGTTGAGTTATGTGATTACATTTGACAATGGAGTTGCTGCGTTCTGATCTTTTCAAAACTGGTAAATTTGACAACATCATCATCAACTTCACTGAAAGCGAGGTTCTCTGCAGAACGAACGTCAACAATGAAGAAGAACTTGCAACTTGGAAAGAGCTCTTCTGTCGTGCTTCACAGACCTCACTGAATGTAGTATACACTAGACATCCAAGTGGTGAACGTATATTTTTCAGTCAGAAGCTGGTGTGTCAGTTTGCTGTCAAAAGACACAAGGGAGTGAAGAAGCACAGCACAGGGTAAGTCAACTGGGTAATGTTGGGGCAGCCGGCAGAGGTAACAGTGGGGCAGGCGTCACCAACAGCTTTCTGTTTCAACAGCCAAGGTGGATGCATTATTAGGGCCCAAATGCATAAAACATTTACGCGAGATTACCCATAATGCTCTGACACATTTTTTATATAAATTTAGTCAAACCATTTTGATAGGAAGGATTCACAAGGAACGGAGCCACCGCTAAGCGAGGCTTGTTGCGGTGACCAGACCTTGGCCTCTACATCAACATCAGTCAATGCTTTGCCATGCTCCAAAGTCCAAATGACATTTTGACCTGGCTGACCTGACCTGATGTGACATGTAACATGTAACATGTCATGTAACATGTAACGATGTGACTTGTAGCTTGTCTATTGAAAAATTGTGATAAAAGCTTCACCATACTTTTGAGAGGTGTTCCCGTATTTCTACGGCCATCTACTCGGAAGCCCAGCCGCCACCAAAAGGTGACCCCTCCAACCCTCCTGTTAGAATTGAAGTCGAGTGTTTTTAAAACTGCAAGGAAAATAACACGTCTTTAATGGTCATTTGCAGATGCCCCTTCAGGATGCATATCCAGATCAAGAGAGCAAGTGAGCGAAAGGTGAAAGACGACGCATTGCTAAGCACTCATCCATGCGTAATCGTCCTTACCGGAGAACACAACCATACCGAATGTGCGAAGTCGCTCAAAGAGCTTCGAGTGCTCCCTCAGGTGGAAAAGGAGTTCTTTGAATACTTTCGACGAGGTAAGCAAAGCTAACATTGGTTATCCGCCCTTCCCTCTTCATCAATGCTTACTTGTCCTGGCTTTGGAACATGATCTTTCTTTTCCGGACCTGTTAAGATTACCTATCAGCAGTACATTATACAAATATGCAGAAAGTTAACATCTTGTAGTAACTGTTATCGATCGATATAATATAATCAAAGCGACATGCAGTGCTCCGTTCCCTGATAACTGGCTTTTGATCTAGTATTATTTATTAACACTATCAGTTAATACTCAAACATTTTCAGTGACGAAAGCCAAGAAAGTTCAATAGACGAGGAAATCCTAATCGAAACGATATGCACAATACGTATTGCGACACTCAAAGAAATTGTGTGATTAAAAAAGCTGACAATTCCAAATAACTGTAGATTAGACACTTAGTTAATTCCATCCATTTCTCAGGCATGCGCGTACCAGAGGCGCAAAGATACCATCGCCTGAAGATGGGTCTGGGTTCGGAGTTCTGCACGGAAGAAGACCGCGGCGACATGAATCCGTCGCTCCGAGCCGTCGCCTACATGCAACGGAAGTGGGCAAAAGCAACTGCTGGAGGCTGCAACGACGAAGACATGCTCGCCGCGCTGGATAGATACGCAGCTACCACCAATAGTGTGATCGAAGTTGAGAGAAGCAGCTCGGGCTCCTTCTGTGTGGCTCTCGTGTCGCCGTTCATGGAGCGCGTCCATGCCCTCCGAGAGGCTGGAGAGGTGGTGTTTGTTGACGCCACAACTTCTGTCGACCGTCTCAACACCGCCATCGTGCCACTGCTCTGCTGCAGCCCTGCCGGAGCCCTGCCTTTGGGAGTGGTGTTCTCCTCTTCTCAAGACGAGGCTCAACTGACAACAGGTATGTTTGATGCATTTTCTTACTTGTTTGCATGGCATTAAGTTTGATGTATTTAACTTTTAATTCTTTTTTCTGAAGTGTTTTCAATGAAAATGTTTATCCCGCAGTTTCCTTAGATCTTGTCGCGCATATTAACCCGCGCCCCGCTGGGCTATTCAGCCATACGCGCCCTGCTGGGGGGGGGGGGGGGGCAGATTCTGCCCCCCCTGTCTAACTTCCGAACCGATGGTCGTAGAAAGACGGGGAAAACGGCAATCGAAAGCTCTCAACAAGGCGGATCTTAAGAGCCCATTTTTTTTTTTTGCTTAAGTAGGTCAGAGGTCAGGTCAAGGGTACAAAATGCAAGTTTCTACAGTATCGGCCTTGCACCGTAGTTGCCGAAGAATGGACTGAGACTGATTGCCCAAAACGTGTTAACCAAGACAATATTCATGCATACAGTGTCATTCAAAGGTCAAGGTCAGGTCAGGTCAGGTCACGTCACCAAAAGCAAAATATAGAAAAGGGCATGTGCGACATATGTTTTATGGGTCATTTTACTCATAGAATTCAATAGGCACACTCAATAAGTGATATGGACCACCTCTGGATGAATTTCAGGTCGAGGTCAGGTCAAGGTCAGGTCAAGTGAGGTCAAATTTTGAAGCTGGTTGTTAAGGCCTAAAAAGGTGTCTATCTGATGCAGTTTTTCACGGCGAATCGAATGGTGCTATTTTCGTTTCCGTACGAAGTCTAGAACTTCAAAAAAAAAAGATTTTTCAAAAAAAAAATTGTGTCGTGACGTCATAAACTTTTGAATAACTCCCACATTTTTTAACAGATTCTTCTAAAAATTGCAATGTAGGTGCACATAGACCACTGCTATGACGTATATTCCGGTTTTTTTTCGATACACTCAAAATTTTGGATTTGATAATTATTTTTCCAAAAAAGTCAGTTTAAAAAAAAATGGGCCAAATTCCAAAATTTTCAAAAAACCGAGATTGCCATTTGATAGACAAAGTAGAATCACGTATAACCTTTTTTGTTACGTCTTGATTCCTTTAAAAATGAAGATGTTAGCGGCGTTTGAAATTTTGCCGTTTTTGAGGCGAAAATGGCGAACAAGACGTCACTAAAACGTCAATTTCTAAAAAAAAAAATCCGACGGATTTGGCTCAAATTTTCAGGGAACGTGTCAAATTGATGTATGATAAGGTACTGAAAGTCTGACGTCGCTGGCGTAACGCGTTTAGAAGTTATTGGCGAAAAACGGGAGGGGGGCAGATTCTGTCCCCCCCCCCCCCAGCTGGGCGCGGGTTAAGCCATTGCAAGGATACATGTATCCCCTCGCCTTGGGGAATATGCTGAAATGCTCATGATCCTCACGAATCGCAACAACAGGAACATTTGCTTTTGTTCCAGGCTTCAGGCTGCTCCAGAAGGCTGTCGGCCATGCAGCCTTCAATGGACGTGGGCATCCTTCAGCGTTCGTCACGGATAACTGCGATGCAGAACGAAGGGCTCTGCGGACCGTCTGGCCTGAAGCCGAACAGTTTCTCAGCATTGCCCATGTGCTGCAGGAGGTCTGGAGGTGGCTCCTCGACCCCATGCATGGCGTCCCGAGGGACCAACGTCAGGAGCTGATGGGCGTCGTGCGGAAACTGGTGTATGCGGAAAGCCCAGAACGCTTCCAGGCTCTGTTGGCTGCAGAACACGTAGCCCATCAAGGTTTCGCCAGGTTAGTGGATGTTGCCAGAAGTCTAATATTTAAACAAATTTACGCATGACGATCATTTTTCAACAGGTATTCGTTAATTTATATTAGATGCCACACATTTTAGCCCAGGTACCTAAGTCATTAATTTATAGTCCCCAATCTAATGGTTTAGTGTTAAGAGTGGCTATTTATTTTTACCGCTTGACCGTTGTAAAACCTGTTATTATATTTCACGGATGCTGGCGGATGCGTCAAAGATAATTTGAAATATCTTTTTTTTTGTACATCCTAGCACTTGCATCGATACTCAACCACTGAAAGTCAACAATCATTCATGAGGCATTGGTCTCAACTCTCAATATAAGGGTTCCAGAGGCCAGTAGTTGAGATTGAGCCTAATTGCTCCCAACTTAAGACTGACAGCTGCTAGAACGACCCAGCTGTTATGCTGGGACTGAATGCGCCTCGCCAAGCTCGATCGGGGCAAAGGTGAGGAAAGTAAAGCGGCTTGAACCTTTTCTTGAGACGAGTAGTAGGGGAGACCCGGGAGGTATGGGCCCCCTGGAGGTATGGGCCATCGCAGTTTTGAAGAAGTGTTGCATATTTTTACACATTTGACCTCGTAAACTGGTAGCAGCCATTCCGTTATACAACCTACATGATTTTCAAAATCTTCCTCAGTCTTTTTTTGGCAATGAGCGGTGATAAAGCGTTTTTGCCCTCTTCGAGTAAAATACTGTACATACAGAAAATTCGTGATAAATTTGAACTAGGCTCGATTTCTGATGTCAGACCAATGCTAACATAAAGTTTAAAGCATGCAAATTAAGACTGGATAGACAATTGGAAGCTTTCTTGCAAGATTATGAGCCGAAATGCTACGCAAATTCTGGCGTCCTAACCGGGAGGTTCGGGCCACCCACCCCCGTTAATCCTAAATCAATGAAAAGATGCTTTCATTGAGTGTCATCTTCAATAAGTTTTATTTTTGTCGCGCAAGGTTGAAAATTTGACTTCAAATTTCATTCGAACAGAAAAATATTATTTATTTTATTTCATTGTGCATGATTGAGTTTACCAAAATACATATGTGCCCAAGTGATCTCCATGAAGTAAGCTGTTGGCCGCTTTTGCGATTCCTGGGCTCTAAGAGAGGTCAAGGTAGATACCAGCTACAAGTATTGTTCTCACTGTCGAGAAAAGAATATGAAACATGGCACCGGCCCATACCTCCCGGGCCATGGCCCATACCTCCCGGTGCATTTTGATGGATCGAAAAAGCACTTTACTTATTTAAAGCTATCTCGAGACAAAGTAGTTGATCCCAGATGCCTAATATCAGGCACAGTTTGCAGGCGAAAGGCAAATTCACGTGCACAGAGTGAAAACCCGGGTCTAGCCACTGCCCACTGGAAAATAATTGACTTTTCACAAAACCGGCCCATACCTCCCGGGTCTCCCCTACCTACACAGCTCATGAACACTCAGTGTGTCCACAAAGCGTCCACAAATCAAGTTGGTGTAATACTGAGCCTATCGTCTTTCAGGTACATGGAGGGCCTCTTCGAAAGGCGCGCTGAATGGGCGATCGCGTGCCGCCAAGCATCCGCCCTTCGAGGGAACCTTACCAACAACTATGTGGAGGCCACGATGCGCATCATCAAAGACATCGTCATGAAAAGGTAACTATCAGCTTCTACATCAATTCCTGTTTCCTTCCTTCCTTCCTTCCTTCCTTCCTTCCTTCCTTCCTTCCTTCCTTCCTTCCTTCCTTCCTTCCTTCCTTCCTTCCTTCCTTCCTTCCTTCCTTCCTTCCTTCCTTCCTTCCTTCCTTCCTTCCTTCCTTCCTTCCTTCCTTCCTTCCTTCCTTCCTTCCTTCCTTCCTTCCTTCCTTCCTTCCTTCCTTCCTTCCTTCCTTCCTTCCTTCCTTCCTTCCTTCCTTCCTTCCTTCCTTCCTTCCTTCCTTCCTTCCTTCCTTCCTTCCTTCCTTCCTTCCTTCCTTCCTTCCTTCCTTCCTTCCTTCCTTCCTTCCTTCCTTCCTTCCTTCCTTCCTTCCTTCCTTCCTTCCTTCCTTCCTTCCTTCCTTCCTTCCTTCCTATCTTCCCTTCCTTCCTATGTTCCCTTCCAAATTTGCTGTATCATACATTGATGTTAATACATTATGTCAACTCACCTTAACGTTGAGTGATGGACGGGTGGTATACGAATATTTCACTTGACTAAATATTATACAACCTACTAAATGCCTGTCGATCTCCCGATGGTTTGTGGTCATTCCGTCTGCCCCTATTGTCTTGTCAACTTGCATCATTTTACTGTTTGGTCAACCTACAGCATTTTACACGAATGTTAATAAAAGCGGAGTATAGCACTGCCGTTCTTGGACCACTCCATGAAAGGTAGTTCTTTGTTAACACCTGGGAAGAGTTCAGCTTCTGATCGTTTGAATTTAGCCTTAACGTTTGCCTTGGTTGAGGGTGGAGGGGGGGGGGGGCGCTTTTCGTCACAGCTGACAAATATTTGTGTGTGCAAAGAAAACTGCGACGCATAGCGCCGCGAAACTTGATGAAGCTTATCATGGTTCAATTTTGCGTTGTGTGTCAAATTTGGCCCCAGGTCGCCTAAGGTCAGGTCACCAGCTCAAGTTAGGTAACCAATAACCATGTCTTTAAAAATGTGATCCTGGCATGCCTACAGTTTATCGTCTACAAGTCTGAAACTCAGTGTATCAGTGTTTGACGGGCGACAGGATGTATGAAACGTTAACTTATTTCTGATTACATATTTGAATGTGGCGTTTAGTCAGATCAATTTTGCGTCATGTCCAAGAAAGCCCAAATCGGGAAAATTACGTCTGATTACTCTTGACATGAACTGTGAATTGTGATCTAACCTAAAAAAATGATCGAAGTACTTTTTCGTCTGTGACAGCCTTATGAATATTTTGGTAATGGTTACTACGTCATACGTGGTCCGGGAATCTGAGTTAGAGTCTAAAGAGGACGTAAAACGCTCCCCTCGTCTCAGGGTGCTACAATCGTTGCACCGGCCCTGGCGTGGTTTGATTACTTATATGCTTGTTACATGTAATGCATTCGTGATTGTTTCCACAAGTGTGTTGGGTGTGGGGGGTAGGGGGGGGGGCGAAACGGCCCTAAACGGCTGCGGATATCGCCACCAAACTTTCAGGACCCCTCCGGGCATCAATTTTACACATTTGTGACCAAAAACCTTTCAGAGGCTATGATAGGTTGGCCAAAGTGACGTCATGTTCTGCCATTTTCGACAAAAAAGTTTCGCGAGAAGAGTCGTCAGGCCTACAGCTTTGGAGATACAGACAAACGTTCAGGACATTAAAAGGTGTAGAATTGACAGGGCTATAAAACTGCCATCTCGGATTTTTGCTATTTTCAGATTTTGACCCCTCAAAGTCTAAAAAATAATTTTTGGGATACAATAGTCAAATATTCTCAAAACTTTTTTTTTTCAAATTTCGGAAAAAACGAAATGTATATGATAGTACCCACCTTCTTCTATCCACATACCAAATTTCAGATCGATACCTCTTTTTGGCCAAGTTATAGCGAAAAAACTGTTCAAAAATGATGACGTCAAATTTTCAAATTCAATTTTTTTTAGCAATTCTAAACCACGTAGCGCAAAACAAAGACCACCATTAGACGCCCCGTCACGAGCTGCATCCAATCGATACCCATTTTATGCAAAGTATCAACTTTGAAATTTGACCTTATTTGACCTGACCTTGACCTGACCTTAACCAGAACACAACCTAAACTGGCCCCAAAGACTGCCTGACCCACATAATCGCATTTGTCATGTGAATGGACCATAAAACATGTATTACACGACACTTCCATATTGTAACCCTCAGTGACCTGACCTATGTGACCTGACCTGGTATCAGTGACCTTAGATAACAAGATGTGTTTGACGAACAATTCTTTATCGATGCTTTTCACTAACATACCAATTTACTCGATTTCACAATGCGTTTCTTGAAATGCCTGTAAACGGTGAAAATGCGACTTTTGACCTGACATGTGACGTCATCGGTTGGACCGAAGTCAATGACATTGGATCACAAGGTAGTTCCTTGATGGGACTATCGAACGCCGTTTGAGTTTGGAAATCGGCCGGTAAATTTCCGAGATCTTAGGGTCGAAACGCCCCCCCCCCTCCCCCTCCCTACGGGTGGTAGGGTCCGCCGATAGGCCTACGGGGCGCGGGTTAAGACACTGAACTGCGTTCAAGTCTCAACACAGTTGTAATCTGTTTCTGGTTTCCTTCGCAGGTGTAAAGCACGCAACTCATGCGAGCTTGTCATGATCATGGACGAGATCTACAACGGCTACATGGTACAGCGCCTGATCGACTTCGCTCTCGACCGTCGCCAAAGCAAACGTTTGGCACCACCTACCATGAACGAGACTTCTATCACCAGAGTAGACGACCACCACTTCCGCGTGACGTGCGAATCGGACCCGAACGTCATATACAATGTGGCTATGGACTTGGGAGTCTGCTCGTGCCCTCAGGGACAATCGGATGGCATCTGCAAGCATCAACTGGCCTGCTCTCATGTGAGAAACATGACCCTGCCACAGGCCTTCAACCCCATGACTGCCGAGAACCGACGCTGGCTGATGTGCCTGGCGTTGGGTGAGGATAAAGCTTCAGACGCTGGCTTCGTGGCAGAATCGTCAGGTGCGCCAACCAGCGAGAGAGGGGCCACGGTGCCCACTCTTCTGCCTCCGTCAGGTGACGACTCGGGCCACTCAGGTGAAGAGGCAGGCGCTGCAATTTGGGACGATGACGACCTCGATGCTGTTGAGTGTGTTGTTGCAGGATTGTCCTCGTCAGCGAACGCCTCCGAGACAGACAAAGTGGGCCCGTCCGAGCTTCAACAAGGCTCACCAGTCGGGCAGAAACCATCGACGGAGCTGATCGACAGCTATCTGTCGACCATGCGGCGTGTGCTTCTCAAGTACGGGGACGGACAAACGAGCAGTGCGCTAGTCAGGGCGATTGGCACGGTGGCTGCTCTGAAGACGAGCAACGAGCTGAACGGCTATCTGCAGTCAGCTGAACCGCCCTCAGAGTGCCTGAGCAGTGGTTGTGCTGCGCGAGGCAGCATCCGGCCCACCGCATTCAGTCGGTGGCCTGAAGACCGGCCGTTTGGCGCCGGTCTGGGCGGGGGGCGGCGCCTGCGGAGCAGCCGCGGAGCCGCCCCACCTGCGAAGCGTCCCAGGTCTAATGTTGACGTTGTCATTGAGAGCGTAGCCAGTGGAAAGGCGCTTGGTTCTGGTCAGTAATACGAAACTCGACGCCACCAATGGGCGACAGCACGCGGTAAATGCTGGATATGACTGTGTGCATATGCAAACGCCTTTCATGAGACTGTGACTGTGTTCAGCAGCATGTATAATGGATATGTGTCTTGTCTTACAATTGTGTTTGTTACTGTACAAATGTTTCATGTCTTGCACGTTATGTGTATTGTGTATGAAGGGGCCTCAGGACTGCTGGTGAAGCTGCATGCTCACATTGGGCTACAATTGATTTAGCTGTCCATATATCTTGTCTAATCGATAAAATAATCTAGGAATCCATCGTCTTTCGATGTGCGTTTCATTATAACTCTAGCGTTTTCACCCTCCAACGATTTGCTTTCACCAATATCGTCAGCATCGCAACAAAGTTGGTAATTCGGGTATAGACTGCAACCATTTCTTTTGCAACATATTCTCATTAGATAATATGTTGCATATTCTCGTACTTACCTTATATCGCATAGGTATTCTCATACTTACTTTGGATGTCTTAGGCTTACTCCATTGCGAATGTAAAAAAGTGAGCATTGGCCGGCATTTTTATACAAGATCGCGAGTCGCATAGGATTCAATCCACCGGCCTCACTGTGAGTATATGACTATGACCACTCGGTCGTAGCTACTTCTCGTCTTAGAAATGCTCAGTTATGTTCAAATCGAACCTACTCTCAATTATGCATGATTGCGTCGGATAGCATATGACGTCAACCAAGAGGTGGCGCTTGTTGACATGCCGACTCGTGTGATCGACTTGATAAATACGCCACCTGGGCCCACAGCCACCCATTCATCCATTTGGACAAAATTTCTGGGGAAAAGATAATATGTAATTGCACCAATCGCTCCCGTGTATCGCCGGTTCGTCTGACAATGTTTGTCGCAGGATTCTTACAGATGGTTTGTCGCTGCTCTGAGTTAGTTCGTACTGCCGCCGCCAGGTGTCTGCTGGACACGTTTGTCAGTGTGGGGTCGCCACAGGCGGACGTAGTGGCCGCGCTGATCCGCGACTTTGACCAGCGCGTGGCCGCCCCGACACCGGACGTCCCTGCGCCGCCCCAGTGAGTTGGGCGTCCTGGACTCGGCCTGGAGACGGGGTCGTGCTGCCTGGTGGTGAAGGCCATAGACGCCTGGCATCATCTGTTTCAGAATCAGCAGTTTTAACTGGTCTACTGTTAACGCCAGACCCCTTGAGACCCTAATTGTTCGCGATTATTTTTAAATGCGTGGAAGAATTTCAACCAAGCTCAGGACATGGCCGTTTCAAGACCTGCCGAAACTTTTACAATTTAGATATTTTGTCGCTATTTCAATATTTCAGGCACTTCTCATTGACTCGTAATGTTAAATTTCGAGCAAGATTTTCACCCGGTGTGTAGAGGATATCACCAGTCAGTCTGTGATACGTTTTGACGTCAAAGCTAAGCCCCGCCTCTGTGGTCTTGGCCTGCGGCGGTTTCGGGCCGGCGCGCGGTCACTCGCGCTGTGGCGGGGAGCGGGGTCGGTCGAGCGGTGCCGAAAGCCGGCGGAGTTGTGCGTGCCCAAAGAGCAGTGCCCAAAGAGCGACATGATGACTGAGGAGCCATAAATGCTCAATGCGCATTGTTTGTACAATGCTGATAGGTTCGCTGATATTTGTTTTATTTTTCATAAGCTGCAAATGACGGGCAGATGGCATATACCTGACATAAGGTTTGGAAATATTCACCTGTATTTAAAGCCTATGGCTTTGCAGATGATGTGATAATGGGATGTCGGATGTCATTAAGTAGTTGCTGATTTGTACATCGCTATGCAACCATCGAACAACGCAATAATTAGTTAATTGCCTTCGCTTCACATCATAAGGCTCGCTCGTATTTCAAACATATATCCTACATCGAAAATCGTATTTGTTAGGAATCTTTAACGTTTGTTCGAAGCATGTGTGAGTAGTAGGTTGAGGAGTGATGGGTCTCTTGGTCCTATATACAAGAGTCAACAAGAGCCTAACACCTACTTGACCGTCTGCTGCAATTTGAATTGATACCTAGCACGTGAAGCGTCAGCGAAATTCATGGTCCTTTACAGATGGCAGGGCAGTCGTGTGTACAGAGGTCGCTGATGGGCACGGGTCAATGCCGCAGTCGTGGGCGGAGCCTAATGTCATGACGTATGAAAGCCTCTATCCAGGATGGAAAAACAGTTAACATTACGAGTCAATGACAAGTGCCACAAATATTTAAATGACAACAAAACGTATTTGAAGAAAAAGTTTGGGCAGGTCTTGAAACAGCTATTACCTAAATATGGTTGAAATTATTCCACGCATTTAAAAATAATTGCGAAAAATTAGGGTCTCAACGGGTCTGGCGTTAACAGTAGTTACTGCTAATGCACGTTCCGTACAAATAAATTATGGGCTTCACCCTGTTTAACAAACACGATAGCAATAAGAAAGTAACTGTAGTCAACGTCTTTCTCGTACGCTATAGCTTTGTACATATTTTCGCATTAGTCGTCCAGTCGCATGCTTTCTAGGGGGACAATAGGAGCATTACGGGAGCATTTGTGTGTGTTTTGGTATATTGTCCGGTGCCATGCTCAGTGTTACTTTAAAATAATTATCAAAAAGTGCCCTCAGCTGACTCAACAACTGTCAAAGCCTGCTATACATGTGTATTTATTCGTGTTGGTGTACCACTGCGTCAGCCTCTGCCCAGTGTCCTGGCATCTGTTTACCACTGCGTAGCCTCTCCCCAGTACCCATTTCGTCATGTTCCATGTCGCTATCGCCAGGTAGCCTCTGCCTGTGTCCCTCTGTGCGGGTGTTTGTCCGGGACCCGGTGTGAGACTCCTCGGTCGGGGGAGTCCCCAGAGCGCTCTGTGTCCGTCTCTCAGCGTACCGTCCGTCCTGCAGGCCGCTGACGGCGGCGGCGGCGGCGGCAGCAGCGGTGCCCGCCGTTCAGCAGGGCATGGTCGAGGTGCGCAGCCGTGTCACCAAGATGCTCAGCTCGACGGCCATCCAGTCCAAGTCCTCCCAGCTGACAGGACTCTTCAGGAAAAAGTAGCGCGGCCAAGTGGGTGGGTGTCGGGTCGGGGTGTGCCGGGAACATAAAAGGCTGATTGAGCATTCCATAGGGAGTTATTGCTGTGGGTAGGGCGGGGTAGCCGATTTACTAGTGTAGATATTATGGCCAGAAAAGTGGACTGAAGAAGAGCATTTATGAGATATGCGCACATTTTATAGTGTAGTGCGTACTGGTTGCGGGTACAAATATCTCGTGCATTTCCTACTAGAATTTTTATGTAACCCACATCTTATTTTTATTGGGAAATGGATTGGAATGTGATAATTATTTACAGGATTTCAAACATAACAAAAACAAGCGTACCGGGACGGCTGGGACCACTTCTGCGCCTGCCATCTATCGGGCAGTGTTTGGAACTACAGCGGGCGCCGGCCGGCCGCGCCGCGCGGCGCCGTTACCGGGCTATGGAGGCGAATGAAGTGGTATAAAACCAGACGAATTTTACGCTTGTAAAGCAAAAAACGAAAAATGTACACTCACCACAGTGTTCAGCAAAGTACTGGGAACAATATGGATATAATTCAAAGCTAGTACGATGCGAACTGTTGGTTCCCTAGAGCAGTATTTACATACTTGTAGGAGATAGGACTTTAACATTACGGGAGCTTCTAAACTGCGCTCGCAAAGTACTTGATTGTAAATATTTTCATTTAGAGGCAAAAATCTAAAAATGTACAGTCAGAGCGTTGTTCCCAATGCTTCTAGGTACACAATGAGCATAAATTTAGCTCGAAATGTCATCACACATTGGTTCCCAGTCCAGTTTAAAACGACACTTTGTGCCGCAGAGCCTATCTCTTCCAATGGATGGCGGCTGGGTGGCGGTTGTAGTGGTGGACAAGACAATTCTTGAGTGAAATGAAATCATTTGCTTTCAAAGAATAAATTTGAAGAACTTGTAATAATTGACAAAAGATCGTTAATTACAGTGTAAAATTTCAAGTTCATGGCAAATGAAAATATTTTAAACAATGCTAGTGAACCCCAGTACCGCCGCGCGAGAAAGCAAGTACTCGACGCACGGTCTGCCCGCTACTTCTGAAAATGGTCCGCGGCCGGCCGGCCGCGACCCGACACGGTCCCTTACGGGCGTTGACGTTCTTTTTACGTTTGCTTGAAAGCTCTGTGTTAAAGTTTACGTGAAATCAATAGTTTGTGTAGCACGATCCGAAACGTGCAGCCATGGATGATATAACACTGGATTGGTGTCTCGTGGAAATTAACATTGGGATCCGCGACATTGGGATCAGGCCTGCCATCTAGCGAGAGAATTATCGTAAGTTAGGAGCAAGCCGAGTGAACGCCATCTCTCAGCATTATGACACACGTGGGTGTGGTGTGTTAGTTGGCTTGAAGTGCAGATTCCCACGAGTTGGAGGTAATCTTATTGGACCCGAGACGACAAGAAATGTCTTAAATGCTTGAAAGCCAAAAACGTCAAGCAGCTTTTAGGTAATAACGAAAATAAAATGCGTAATACTGTGTGTATTGAAACGCCCAGTCCTATCGGCTTGTACGACCTTTTATATGGTCATTTACTCACAATGGTACAGCAGTTTGACAATATGTCATACATATTTGGTAGGCTTATTCCTTCTTCTCCGAATTTCGCCCATCTTTCTTCATCTTAGTTAATGTTACGGCACGTGCCACGTGCCAACTTAGGGGTGTCGAAATTGTTCCACATAAAGTAACTCCGCAATGGCTGGGCCCATCACAGTATAACTTGGTCAATAGTTGGGCACCCAGTGGCCAATGCATTTCCATGTGTCACTATGGGGGTGTTACTGCGCGTGCGCACGTGCGGGGTGCCGCTTCCGTATCTCAAGAACGGCTGGGCGGATAACACTCAAACTTGGTACACAAATGTCACATCGATGCTCACACTGCATTGACCAGTTGACATTGACATTGGTGCAGAGTCGTTAGGAAAACGATGAAATGAGATGCGCGGTGTTTACTGTTTATGCCTTTCTGTTCCAGCAGCTGATTGATCCGCAACAGGAGATCCTTGTTTGTGAAGGCTTCATCTCCCTTTTCCACTCCTTGTTTAAAATAACATTAACAATGTACGAAGAAGATCACACACCAAAGTTGTTTTAGGCGGCTATCTTGGGCCAGGGCTGCGGAGTTGTAATAGCCAGAGTCAGCGGTTCTGTTCCGACTCGGAGTCGGTTGATTTTCAAAAGCTGTAGTCGGAGTATGAGTCGAACGTCACCGAAAAGTCATAGACTCCACAGACTTACCAGGGCTGCAGAGTCGGAGTCAGAGTCGGAGTCTGTGTGAATCGACAGTACTGCCCGGAGGAGTCGGAGTCGATATTTGGATACCGGAATCGTTGGAGCCAAAGTCACTGAAATTTCGTCGACTACGCAGCACTGGTTGGGTCCTTTTCATAGACCGTCTTGAATGACATATTGAGTGGCAATGACGTTAGCAATTCCGTTTAACTTTCACATTTGACTTATAGATAGTACTTACGTTCGTTTTGTTCTTTGATCGGACAATTTGTTTGATTTAGGCCAAGTAAAGACTCAATAGAAAAATAACGTAAACGACACGTGCTGGCGAAGTCTCCAATAACTCCCTGTTTCACGATTTAATGAAGAAATAACATGGAACTGCTTATCTTATTACTGATCCTGCACATACATCTGTTAATTTCTTCGCTTTTACTGACATATAAAGATATAACCTTTTGAAAAATTGCACAACAAGCCTGCTACTACACCACACTCCCGTGTGTCACAATGCTAATCAGCGGCGTTTACTCGGCTTACTCCTAACTTACGATAATTCTCCCGCTAGATGGCAGGCCTGAGCTCAATGTCGCCAAAAACTGCGAAGACACCAATCCATTATTATTTCATCCATGGTGCAGCCATTAGTGTATGTAGATAAAGCCAGTGAGTTTCCCTGAATTTCGCCATAGCGAAGAACTGCGGGCTGTTTATCACAGCCATGCTCTAACTTGCCATTGGTGTAACAGCCAAGAATAGTTCCAAGGCACATGTGACGGCGCCGAGTTAGAGTGGAGGGCGCGTATTTCGAGTTTCTCTGAAGGCAGCTGGCTGTCGCGGAAGAGTCAGTTACAGCCCCCCCCCCCCCTCGAGTTCCACCCCCGCCGTCGCCGGTGTCCCGTCGGTGGCTCTCGTTGCATGCTGCGGGAACCGTCAGTGATCCGGGTACTCTACCGTCCATGCTTATATCGTCCGTGGCATATGCTCGCTGCTGTCGGCGTCCGGGAGTCTGTGTGAGGACAACAGGGTGTTCAGGGGACGTTTTATCGGATGTGGGGGGCGCCGCCGGCGGTCAGGGCGGGGTCTTTATCAGGTCACGTGCCACCCAAGGGGACCGTTGACCTGGCAGTGCTGGACCCGCCATATGCTGAGTGTTGTGATACCGGGTGAGGTTGCGCGATGCGATACTGACGAGACTTAATGTGGCTGCTTGTCATGCTGTGGTTGTGCCTTTCGCGCCCAAGTGAATACATATTGCGCCTATATCGGATTGTGTTTGGGTTTCGGTCACGCTGGTATTTGTGATTGCTAGTTTTTAGTTGTTTGCTATTCAACGTGAACCTATAATGATAATGGGCGAGAAAAGAATGCTATTCAACTTGTACACTTTGTACATTTAACAAGTGCTGGTCAAACACATCCATGTTTTGTGACGTGGCCCAGCTTATCTTCCTTGCCGGATGTTTGTGAAATGACGACGGCTCTTGGCTGCGAATTTCCGATCTCGGGAACATCACATCAAAAGGATGCAGTGAGGTTGCATCTTGCTCGGTCGTTGCCTCCGGAAAGGTGATGTATGTGGGTGTCTACTTCGTACTTGTAGGTACAGTCCACAGCAGAAGTAATGTGCGGTTTCAGTCATGTGTATGTTCTGCTTCTGAAGCTTAGGAACGATTAGCCAGACTACAATGAAACTTTGAATGTAGCTTACATGTATCGCCACCTTTGCAGCTGCAACTTTATCTATTGACGTCTTCTTTTCGATCACTCCGCATTAAAAAATCGCCAGTCAAAGCCATCCGTTGAGATTGGTAAAACCGCACATTGCTTTAGCGGTGGGCTGTACCTTTTATTGATATACACGAAATGGTGGTGTAATTGCCACACTAAAATATGTACATTTGAAACCATGGACTGTGTTGGGGTTAACAAGATGTTTGAGGTCATCCAAGGCATAAGTATGAAGTCACCCGAGCCTCCACGTGGTCTAACCAGTGAAGAATGGTTGAAGTGCTGGGCTGGCACACTATTGCGTCACTGAACTCACGACTCAAAGCGGCAGAGTAAATACACTCGGGCACCTCGCTCATAAGGCGACCACTCTGCGGGGTCTGCACGTGCACAGACGTGCATATAGGGAGGAGCCATCATCGCCAGTCGACTCCGAAAATCTTGCGCTGCACGTGCACACGGCCACGGGCGGCCAGCGCACACGGTCGTACACACACCTGGAGGTCGTAGGCGTACTTCTGCCTTCAGTCGCTGCATTCGTCCTTTCCGCCACACCTTCTCCCCGTGCGAGCCCTTCCGCTTTCCCCAGTGCATCCTTGACGATGACTGGAGGCCCCAGCTCCGGTGTGGGTTTGTTGCTGTTACTGGAGGACTCGTCTCCCCTCTGGATGTCCAGTTCGTCAGGTACAGCGTACAGACCCTCCGAGAAGTCGGACATGGGCCTGATGTATGCCCACGTCGGCTCTGAGGGGACGTTGCCTCTGCTCTGCGCCGGTGGTCCCCCCATGCGAGTTCGGGAGGTGACGGGGCTGTCCCGCACGGAGACGGGAGCACTGGCCGAGACAGCGTCACCTCCGGCGGGAATCGCCCGGTCGTCAGAGGCCGCGGGGTGGCCGGACCCGCGCCGCCTCCACAGCAGGGCGGCCAGTGCACCGAGCAGCAGCAGCAGTAGCGGAGCCACCGACGCGGCTGCGTAGTACTGTGACAACGAGTTGGCAGCGCTCCGCCGCGCTGATGCAGCTCTGCCGCAGTGAAGCAGCTCAAATTCCGCCAGTGTTGGATTGCCTGCGTCCGCCGGTCCGGCGCAGCGCGCGTTCAGGATGGATTCAGTGAGAGGATGCTCCCCCTCAGAATTTAGAATAAGCTGTGTGTCCTCGTTTGAGAGTAGCAGACGACTTGCTTGCTGCCATGCTCCACACATACACGGAATGCCGAAGTTGAGGCCACTGAGTATGACGCTGCTGCTGCTGTTAGCATCTACCTGGCTTTCGTCAGCGTCGCTGACATTCCTCAGCTCGCCTCCCAGAAGAGAATCCGCGAATCTCAGCGCACCCGATTCAGCGCGGTCAATCCTGAGCCGTTGGATCGCCACACCCTCAGCATCATGTCCCTTAAGCCGGAGCAGACGAAAAGCATCACGCCGCAGTGTGCCCACCGCGCAGCGTTGCAGGAGAACCGACCTGGAAGCCATGACCTGAAGCGACCGCGGGCGGAGCTCCCCGAAACTGCAGTCCAGCGCGGTGAAGCGCGTGACGTTGAAGCTGACCGCCCTCTCGTCCAGACGACGCATGAAGGTGTTGTTTAGGATCACGACATCGGCAATCTGGCCACTGAGGGCGCCGCTGTTGACGTATCCCAGCTGAGAGGCGGAGATGACGAGCGAGCGCCAGCGGTACGCGCGCACACAGTCCCGCTCTGCCCGCTGCACCGTCACGGCGTGTAGCATCACGGTATTCATGACACCCGTAAACGTGTCTTGCCTGCAGCGCGTTATGGTCACATCGCTGATGCTGAGCCTGTCGATGTCGTTGAACGCGCCCGGCTCCAGAGTGAGCGAGGTAATGTTCTCCAGAGTGATACTCTGCACTGGACTGGAACTGCCTCGGAAGGCGCCGCCGGCGATGTAACACTCACGGATGTTGCGCAGTGTGACGTTGTGGTCGGACCTGCCGTAATCAGATAGGGCTATCGTCGCTACCGACAGCTGACGGACGGTGTCAATGGTGACGGTGAGCGGTGACGACGCGGCCAACGGCATGACCAACAGCGCGGAGCCCTTCTCTAGGGTGACATTGTCGATCGCCAGCAGCTGGAGGAGCTCCAGGCGCCGCAGGTGGAACAGGGCGAGGTGTCGGAGGCTTACGGACGCGGCGTTGGCGATCGTCAGCTGGCGCACAGATGTCGGGAATGTGTCGAACGTGATGTTGACCTGGAAGAGAGGCTTAGGTTTAGAGAGGTGAGGTTTGGAAGGTGGTTTAGGTGTACCCTCTCGTTGTAGCTTATTGACTGTAATGCTACTTTCTGCAATAAATAGAGATGTTAGGTTGATATTTCACAGTTACCAAGTCGTTAATGGTGTATCTATCATCTATAGCTAGTGCTATGATATTTAAACTCGTCTAACTAATACCTTCACAAGCTGCCCTTCTCTGCCCAAACTTACGTGTTGTCCCACATTTCTGAGGTCGCAGGTCACTCGATGGGGCTGGCGGCATCCTCCAGCGTAGATGCAGCCCGGTGTGCCGCAGTACACACCGTCTCCAGCCGAGCCCTCTGGCACGGCGAGCACAGCGCCCACAACTAACACGGCCGGCACAAGACCGGCAGCCATCCCGTAACTGCGCCGCCTGCGTCCGGCGTCGGCGACGGAGGCGGGTCACACTGAGGATGCAGACCTCGCTCAGGCTGTTTTCCAGCCAGCGATGACGGTCAGAGGAGCGGACACGGGCCGATAGCGGCCTGTGCTGCAGTGGCGCGCTGCACCACAGCCACAGCTCGCTCCGGCCGGAGGCCCGAGTTGTCCGCTCTCCGGCCGGGGCCCGGGGTGTCCGCTCTCCGACCGGAGGCCCGGGGTGTCTGCTCTCCGACCGGGGGGACCGGGGTGTCCGCTCTCCGGCCGGAGGCCCAGGGTGTCTGCTCTCCGACCGGGGGCCCGAGATGTCCGCTCTCCCGACCGTCTGCTGCAACTCACGGACCGGAAGCCCGGGGGATTCAGGTTTGCTTTCCGTCCTTCTATGTGACCTTGCACGGCTTTGCATGTATTTATTCCTGTGTTTATCGTGCTGCTAAAGCAGGCTAGCAATAGGGAACACACAGTACTACTTTTATGAGGTTTTGTTTCGTTTTATGACGTTTGACGTGTCTTCAGCGCACTCGTGCGACTCGAATGGGTTGAAGTGATAACTTGTGTTCAATGCAACTCATCTACCGCTTCGAGTCACCTGACGACAACACATGTTTACGAGATGCGTCATGGCTGATGATGTTGCGTTAGATTCATATCTCAAAGATAGCGTTTCGTCTGCAGAATAAGCCTCTAAGCCCACAGGCTGCACTTAAAACTACCTTCATCCTGAAAGCGATGATGATACCTATGTATTACCGTGACGCTGATAACGCTTGATGGGCCATCTCGGACGACCCACATCGGGTGATTCCCGTCGCTTCCCGTCCGATAAGCTCACGAGAGGCCAGAGAAAGAGAAGGGGACTTTGAGGTGTTTCGCGGAGAACCCTGAGGGGGAACTGGGTGCATGATGGAGGGGGCGGGTCAGAGGAACGGGACAACCCACGGATGATTCAGCGAAAAGTAGAGCATTTTTGTTCATGGGCGGGGATTCATTCGTCGAATAACTGCGATCCCTTGTCATGGCATTGACATTTACGTGTACCTACTGTGATCTTCGTGGTTGTAGCCCGTAGGGCATCTTGCCTGGTCTATTTCTTCTGCCTCAAGTTATGATTAGACATCACTTGAAGTAAATGTCCTTCGGGCGACCGGCAGTGATATCCCATGGGTAAGACGGATTCCGGAACACACTTTCATATTTTATATTTATGTAGAAATATTTTGGTATTTTATAGGATAACTGCACACAATACAGATACCCTACAATACCTTTGACATGTAGGCGTCAAGCAATCTAGCTTTACCTAAGCAATGTCGGCTATGCCTATTTAATGACAATTTTTCGCCACTACAAAGCATTACTCTCCTTTTGACCTCAGCCAGCAACCAAACGAGCCCGCGCCCGCGCGGCCTCGTCCAGGAGACGCAGTCTGTGTCGAACTTAGGTACGAGAACTGACCACTCGTAGAACAGTGGTCAGAGATTATGCACGCCGGGTTACGAGGGACGTATATTGCTTATAGGCATGGCTATTGGCTGTCACAAGGCACCGTCTTATCACTGACCTTCCGCTGCCCAGAGGACTGCGGACTGCGGAGTCCTGGCGCGCGCTGCTACCAGCCCCCCAGTCCCGAACTCCCGACAGACAGTGATAGGGTGGCGGGTGACCGTTGTCCCGGAGTAGACGCCGACCTTCTACCGATAGGACTAGCACCCCTCCTCGTGCACGGGCCGTTTCAGGTGTGCGCTGAACAGCTGGGGTGCCTTTCAGTGAATCACAGATATCGCGCCATGACGTGGCCGTTATCAGTGCCGCCGTGACGGCAACGGTCAGCGAGATAAAAAGAACCCGGAATTGTTGCAAATAGCTCCAGTTACCGACAGTGACTGGCAGGGGAAAGAAGTGTAGTCAATGCATCTTAAAAAGTGCGTTTCTTTTTCACTGAGCGATGTGACATTCGGAAGTTTTGCTAGTTATGGAAGACGGGGGCTGGACCGTAGTGCAACGGCGGCGCAAACGCATCCAAACAAGTGCCGGAGATGCCAGAACCAGCAAGTCGACTGATCCGAAGAAGAACGAACCATACAATGGCTCAACCTCATCAAAGGTAAACTTTTTTTGTTTATGGGGCTTGACCTATTCATCATTGATCACAGCGTGCCCAATGCCTATATTTGGGAATATCAGTTAGTCAGGAAAAAACGATAGATACTTTATTGTTTGTATTTAACAACTGCTTCATCATAAATTGCTAGGTCGGGCGACGGTAACTCCAATTATTATCACAGCACTCCTACCAGTGAAATACCTACATGAGTGCCATCATATCAACCAGGACCGTATCGTAATGCTCGTCACCAGTCAAGGCCTTTATTTCAGGGCTTTCGATCCACCAAGAGCCAACCGGACCCCAAAGCACGGCTCGTGGCCGGGAAGAATCCTACAGCTGCCTCTTCTCGCGGGATACGCTGTGCCGTATGTGGTGATTTCAACTGTATTTCCCAGCTCTCACCCCGCGAGGTCCTGCTTCGACTGCCACCAACGGCACCAAGTCAGCCAGAATCGTCTGTAAGTGAAGTAAGTGACTAAAAACAAATATGCTGTTGTGACCCATGCCAGCTTAAACTAGTGCAAAATTCAACAGGCCCACATCCATATAGTCCCTCTCGATAGGCAATAGGCATTCATTTCTCGCGCAACTTGCACTTGCATTAGGTACCTATAATTATAGGCGCACTTTGAGGAGACTTATAAGCGTTCAGAGGGTTACCTTGACTTATGTAAGCGTTAAGCATTAAGATACATGGATACATATTGCATAGGTATATATGCCTATATGTCATAGTTAGATATTTAGATCAATAGGTACCTACCCAGCAAGGCGTCCCAACAGCAGCAAGTCCCAACACCGGGTTTATCTCAAACGGCATTGTATATTACCTACCCATTAGGTATTTTCTTTCTCCACTTGTTCGGTACCTATATCCACTTACGAGAGCTGTTACAGGGTGTTTCACAATTACCGTTACAAGAGTTCCCACTCAATTTTGGTGCACGGTGGTTTTTCTGAAAACACTATACACCATTGGAAAGAGCACATAATTCTGGTCCTGGTTAATTGCATTTTGAATGCCCTTTGGACAGATAATGGGTGTAGCAGATGAAAGACTGATCCAAATGAGGTCCGAGTCTGCGATTGTCTCGAATATCAGGATTAGAGCCTGTGTGACAAGCTTGTTGCTCGCGGACCTGTTTGAAGACGGCTGTACATGGCTGCGTGGTGTAGTCAACAGGTATCTATTACGCACCTCCTGTATGAATTTCAAGTCTTCAACGCACAGGCTTCAATGGCAATGACGTCATTTCCTACCTCGTGTCAGAAAGGTGACTTGCGTGCCGGCCGGCGAGCCGACCTGGCGGCTGGGATGTGTGGGTGGATTAACGCGTGCCCCCTGCGGCCCGCCACGATGCGGATCGGGGGCACTAGTGCATGAAACTCCGCAACAGCTGTCGGTCGCCAGGGGGCACACACATTTCGGGTCTTCCGGACTTCCGAGTCTTCCGGACTCAGAAACCCGCTTCATTGATGGTCTGGGCGGCCGTCAGCCAGGCCGGCAAGTCGCCGTTGGTTTTTGTGCCCGAGGGCGTAAAAATCAACAAAGAAACCTACATCGAGACCATCCTTGAACAGACGCTGAAGCCGTGGGCCAAGAAGACGTACGGAGACAAGGGCTGGACTTTTCAGCAGGACGGCGCAACAAGCCACACCGCGCGCGTCACCCAACAGTGGTGTGAAGACAACTGCCCAGGCTTCATCACCCAAGGACCAGTGGCCCCCATCATCCCCAGATCTGAATCCGATGGATTACACGATGTGGTCCGTGCTTGAGAAGGAAGCCTGCTCCAAACCGCACAAGAAGATCGACGATCTCAAGCGATCTCTGATCAGCGCCTGGCAGACGATCCCCGCCGCGGTTGTGCGTGCCGCAGTCCATGACTTCAGGAGACGGTTGGCTGCCGCTGTGAAGGCTGGAGGCGGCCACTTCGAGTAGGACTTCAGGATGTTGGTCTCTGTGGTTTTGGGTGCATATGGTGCAATTTTGGCGGAAATAAAGTCATTATGCACAGAGATATTGAGCTTTGATCTTGTAACGTTAATTGTGAAACACCCTGTAGGGGAAGGTGGGGTAAGACGGACCAGCTAAGGTTTGAGGCCGCATATCTTGCTACACTGCTCTCGTAATTCATATTATTTATAGTCTTCGGAATGCTCAATCCTTCCTCTGTTGATATGTGTAAAGACTAAATTTCAAATTAAAGACATCTAGGTGGTGGATGCTCTTAAAGAGGGACATGTCAAAAACTCAGACAAGAAAAAACGTGGGGTAAGACGGACCACCCAGCAGTGCCTGCTATCCGTTCATGTGTGTTACACTTCTGCTCTGTACCTACTCTTGTAAGAAAAAGTAACCAGAATGGTAAAATAACAAAATGAGCCTTTACTCTTTACTCATGTGTGATGAAAGTGCAGCTAAAAGCTGGGAACATGTGTGTTGATTGTCGTTTGGCATGAATGCATGCTAACTGAGCACTTGCATGCATGGCTCACATGGAACAAAGACTCCTTCCTGAAAAAATTAGCTTACACTTTTGTCAATGTTTTGGAAAAGAACTTTCCAGATGCAGGGTACAATGGACCACCACAGGGTAAGATGGACCACAGTGGTCCGTCTTGCCCCAAATCTAAATTCTGTCATTATCATGACGTATATGTCAAATAGCCCAACATTGCAAAACCTTGCCTTTCCTGAAGTGTGACTATAACTAAGTTTATAACTTTGTTCTTCACAGTTAAGTGCAAAATAGAAACTAATCATGCAAGAAAGGCGCCTTAATTGAATCACCCGTAGACCTCTTACATTAGATCGGTTTGACGAAAAACAACATTTTTCTCAATAACTCAAAAACTATGCATCCTAGCAGCATGAGCTCAAGGTGGCCATTGTTACGAAGGAAAACAAACATAGTGAGTGCATAAAGCAGTAGATACCAGCAGCGGTTCAGCCGGGAGGGCTGGTGGTCCGTCTTGCCCCGCTGGGCCGTCTTACCCCACCTTCCCCTACCATTTACAAGTTGCACGATAGTTGATCTTGGATAAACCTAGGCATGCCACGATAACCGCCAACAATGGGCAATAGGCATATCGGTTACATCACACCCAAATTTGCTTGTTTCTGCTTGACGTCCAGCTGGCTCTTTTAATTTCGCGGAAAAGCAGTTTCTGCAATAACAGATAAAACATGTGACTGAAGAATTTGCCAGCATGCCAGATATAATAATCACGTATCTTACGTTCCATTACTAACAGGTCAGCAATCGTTACATTGTGCTTCACTACCTTTACACCGATAAAATAAGGTAATCCATACCTCACTTGTTTGCCTCTGCTAACTGACGCGTGTCGCTGTCGACTGCCGCAGAAGTCGCTGTCGTCTCCGCTCACCTGCGAGGAGCTGAAGCGGCTGCATCTGCCCCTGCTGGATCTGGAGCATGGTGCCGAGCTTGCCCGTCACATAGAGATGGCCGAGTTTGGCCGGCTGGAGGGCCTGCTGGTGGACGGTACGGAGCTGACGCCCCACGGACTGCGGCTGTGGGTGCTCCGCCCGGCCGGCAGCACCAGGGACAGGTCGGGCGTGCACGAGACGCTGCTGCCCAAGCACAACATCCGCTCCCGCGAGCCAATAGAGGTGACCAGAGACAAAGAGGACCGAGAGGAACTTGAAGCGGCAAGCCAACTGGCCGTGGTGTACCGGGTCACCGACTACGAGCTCATGATCGTTATGGAAAGGGGTGGCAAACTCACTCGGGGAAAGGTGGTGAACATCGAAAGAGTGGACCTAGATGATATGTACAGGAAGATGCGTAACATCGTGCGAGGACTGGACGAGATCTCTGGAAGAGCTATTCGACTGCGAGCAGTTCTGTTTGGTGAGCGGCCAGTAGAATGCGCGGATAAACTACCGGCGAAAATCGTCAACGCAAACGGAAAGCTGGACTTCTACAACACCGGGCTTAACCAGCTGCAGCGCGACGCGGTGGAGTTCGCTGTCCGTCAGAAGCATCTGGCCGTCATCCACGGTCCTCCCGGGACCGGAAAGACCACCACCATTGTCGAGATAATCCTGCAGCATCTGAAGTTGGGCTGTCGCATTCTGGCGTGCGCCCACGCCAACACGGCCGTGGACAACATGCTCGAACGACTAGCTGAGAAAAACTCACGCCACAACCTTGAACTCAGTATGGTACGTCTCGGACATCCAGCCCGCATCAGGGAACCACTTCTTGACTTTTGGCTAGATAAAGTGGCCGGTACTCTCGATGATGACGTAAGTCACCACCATGACAAAAAGCGGTCTCCTTCTGACGACAAAGCACTACAGAAACTCCTCATAGAGGAGTCCAAAGTTGTCCTCTGCACACTGGCCAGTACGAGTGAAGAGGGCCTGCTGGAAGCACCCGGGCACCTGGGCCTGGGGGCGTTTGACCTGGTGGTGATTGACGAGTGCTCCCAGTCGGTGGAGGCTGCCTGCTGGCTAGCGGCGCAGAGGACCGGGAAGCTGCTGCTGGCCGGCGACCACCGCCAGCTGCCTCCGACCATCATCAGCAAGCCGGCGGCGAACCTCGGCCTGGAAGTCTCCCTGATGGAGCGTCAGGTGATCCTGCACGGGGAGAAGGCGGTGCGCATGCTCTGCACCCAGTACCGGATGCACGAGCTGATCCAGCAGTGGCCGTCGCAGCAGCACTACGACGGCCGTCTGGAGGCGGCGCCGGCCGTGCGCCACCACCGTCTGACCGATCTGCCCGGCGTACGCCTCACGGAGGACACAGCTCCCACCTTGCTGCTCGTCGACACGGCCGGCTGCGGGCTCAGCGAGGCCAGACCCGACGAGGCCCACTCGAGAAGCAACCCCGGGGAGGCCGACATTGTGGTGGCGCACGTGGAGGCTCTGGTACGTGCCGGCGTGTCCCAGGACCAGATAGGCGTCATCACACCATACTGCGCCCAGATCACCCGAGTGCGCGACGGCCTAAGGCTCCGCCGACTGAAGGAGGTCGACGTTTACACGGTGGACGGTTTCCAGGGACGCGAAAAGGAAGCCATCGTCGTATCGTTGGTCATATCCAAGAAGTCAGGCCTGAGCTTCGTGACAGACACGCGCCGCATCAACGTGGCCATCACTCGCGCCCGGCGACAGCTGGTGATCGTCTGCGACACGAAGATCTTGGGCAGAGACGACGACGCGCGGTCGTTGCTAGAGTACATGCGGCAAAATGGCGAGGTTAGGTCGCCACGGTACTGCAGGGATGGGCCCTAGAACCCGAAAATACGGAGGAAAGTAATAATGACGTTTGCATAGTATCGCAAATTTTTAATTGTAAAACTTCGATCAGACGTCTCACATGTAATATCCCTAATTCAACCATCGTTTTACACATCACCGATCGCGGCCTTTTGACGACCCTGGAACCTGCCACAAACGCCGACAAGCTGCTTCTGGACATGTCGACCACGGCCTGGAGGAAGGCGGTCTGCAGAATTGGAAGTTGTATCTTTCAAGGGCTCGTGACTGTATGGCGACCCAATTCACTAGAAATCACCTGCCCCAAGAACTTGTCACTCCCATTCGAAGCGCAGAGAATAGTGGCGGCGCAACGCCTTTAATTAAGGGAGGGGGAGGGCACTGCCGACTTTTGGCCCCATTCTTTCCATGCAACGCCAATAGGGCTAATGTTAAAATGACAAAATCAAAGGGGGGAGGCACGTTGCCCCGGTGCCCTCCCCGTTCCGCCGCCTATGGCATATAACATATCCGTTTAGATACCTTGTTGTCGATTGAAGTCGATTGAAGCCGGAATTTGGTATGGAAAAACAGAGTGGTTCTAAACGGTTTACGCTACGTTAACGGTACCGGTCTTGCCTTTGATGATGTGTGGCCTTTGATCACTCATCATCATTCTCAGGAAGCTGGGAACAACTGAAAAGCGGGAACTGAGTGTACCAATACAAATGGAACCATAATATACCATCACAAATCAATCGTTGTTTCTCTTTTCTCCTGCATAGGTATGATGCTGTAGTTAGGTCAATAGTAACCTTTGAGAAAGACACACTGCAACTTCAACTAAGCCCCGTACACGGGAATAGGATACGTACTATTACGATCCTGAATCGCTGCCCTTGCCCTTGTACCCAACATTAAGGATTGAAACATAGACCTCTGCATACCGGTATACAGAGGTCTATGCAGATTGAAATTATTCCAACAATAGGAGACTGAAAGAAATGCTCGATTTTCGGATATCTGAAGACGTGAAGTGGTTTGGATCGTCATTCATAGAAGGAAGGGAAATTTCCTCCTGCATTTAACCTTGGTGTAATTAACAATGATTTCTTTCCGGTTCATGGACTCCGGAAATCTACCTAAGTGAAGCATGACCTGAGGCTACAGGCGTAATTAATCGACCCTCAATGAATGAAGCATCCACTCAAATGAAACATAATTAATTAGATGCCCGAGAAATGCTCAGATCACTGGCTCCAGCCAACAGTGCAAATGCGGATGAAGATGCGTCCCTTCTATGGTTTCCATTTGTTTTAGTGCATTAACCCTCGCCCCGTTGGGGGGGGGGCCATTTTGGCCCCCCCCCCTGTGGTTTTTCCTAAATAGCAAGAAAACGGCGGCGCGCAGCGCCGCCAAATTTTCAGTACCTTCCCGGGCATCAATTTGACACCTTCACACCAAATTTCAAGTCTTAGGTCACCTTAGGTCAGGAGTTATTGAGGTCAAACTGAGGTCATGTTCGAGCAAAAATGAGCAAAAAACATGCAATCTTGAAACGCTCACCAAATCTACAGTTATCAAGCAATTTCAAAGTTCTTTATATGGTCTAGTAGACAAAAAGCGGCGCTACAAAACTGCTATCTCGGATTTTCAAAATTTTTGGTTTTTGACCAAAAAAAATTCAAAAAATTGATTTTTTTAGAAAAACTTTGAAAACATCCAAAAATTTTCCGAATTTCGAAAAAACCGGAATATATGTGATAGTCTCAGCGCTCTTCTATATACATACCAAATTTCATATCGATATCTCGTTTTTTGGCCAAGTTATAGCAAAAAAACTGTTCAAAAATGATGACGTCAAATTTTTAAACTCAATTTTTAGCAATTCTAGACCACGTACGGCAAAACAAAGACCACAATTGAACTCCCCGTGACGAGCTGCATCGATTCGATACCCATTTTATGCAAAAATATTAACTTTGAAATTTGACCTAATTTGACCTGACCTTGACCTGACCTTGACCTGACCTTGACCAAAACGTGATCTAAGCTGGCCCCAAAGGCTGCCTGACCCATATAATCGCATTTGTCATGTAAAATGGACCATAAAACATGTATCACACGACACTTTCATATTGTGACCCCCCCGTGACCTGACCTCTGTGACCTGACCTGGTATCAGTGACCTCAAATAGCAAAATATGTGTTTGAAGAACATTTCCCCATCGATGATTTTCAATGAAATGCATTTTACTCGATTTTACAACGCATTTCTTGAAGTGCCTGTAAACGGTGAAAATTGGACCTTTGACCTGACCTGTGACGTCATCGGTTTGACCTAGGTCAATAAAATTGGGTCACAAGGTAGTTCCCCGTTGGGGCTATCCAACGCCGTTTACCGCTTGTCGCCATGTTGCGTGGTTCTCGAGATCTTAGGGGGGGGGGCCAAAATGGCCCCCCCCCCCAACCGGGCGCGTTGCTCGGCAGAGCCCAACGGGGCGCGGGTTAAAAGATAACCAGACTTTCAGCCGTCTTTATCCTCTGTAACCGCCCAACCATGGTGAAGCCAATAGGTATCCTCTGTCAGTTATTCACGATTTCTGATTAAAATGGCCCGTGTTTATGTAAAAAAAATCTGCGCTTTTATTTACTGAACGACCAATCTGGACTACAGTCCATGATGGGCATTGGGCATTTCGGTAACATAGCGGGGCATGTCAGCAACTCGGCATACCTATAATACATGGCAATGGATGGTAATGCTTTATTTTTATTGGTATATGCATTATGCATGTAGTGAATCGCTGCTCGAGATTCGTCACTGTTCAGCCCATTTTGTCAGATTAAAGGCTGGAAACGTATATGATATGGTACTCAGAGCAGCGGTCGGGACTTGGAATCAGGCTCCGCGGGTCTTTCCGTGAACTGCTCGCAGTTACCTCAGCCTACCGTCTCGGTCTGGGTCGCGCAAAACTTCCGTCTCCGCCATACCTACCACTACACCTTGTCATGTTGCATGCAGTCACTATATTTACAGCGTATCTTTTTCACCGCGCGGCGGCGACGCGGACAATCGGTGATACAATGGAAGGATACAAATCCAGCACGCAGGACACAGACCTCACGCAGGACACAGACCTCTAGACACTGACAGTAACCGCTCTCGGGTTTGCCGGTGTGTGCGTGTCAAGACGGCGTCCGTCAGTGCTCGCGCCAGGCACCTGACGCCCACCCTCCACAGGTCGCTCAGCCGCCATCTCCTCCTCCTCCTTCACCTCGTTCCACACCCCGTCCCGACTAGAGCTCGCACACAAAGTGATGACGGTAGGAGCACTGCTCGTCGTGCCACGCCACGCCGTCGCCGTAGAGGTCGTTGAGCACGGCGATGCAGTCCTCGAAGCCCTCAGCATTATCCGGCTGCGGCTGGAACAGCGGGCCCGTTCTGCTCCAGCGTGTGTAGCCGGCAGAGACGGCCGTGCCGTCGGCCCACCGGAACTCGCCTGTCTGGAACTTGCCCGACGTCCATAGAGAGCGAATGTCTGCAAACGGGCGGCGGCCGGTCAGCCGGGATGCCGTGTGGGGTACACCCGACACCGATCAGCGGGAGCGAGCTTGACGGACAGATGGGCCTTTAAAGCGGTACACAAGTCCGTTGCGTTATAGAAACAACGCATGAAAACATGAGACTAAACGGAATGTATCATTGGCAAGAACAGTGTGTGTTGTTTGTCTAGTGTTATTCAAAGCGGAAGAAATCACCGAACTGCTTTCGAGTCTCGAGCCTAGGTCTTCGGCATTGGAGTTATAGCCTGACGAAAATAAAGGAACAACGGGTTTTCACTAAGAAGTTGCGAATAGCGGTAGACGGCCATGAGCCAAGAGGTCTACCAAGATAAAACCGCTGTTCAACGGAGCCGGGCACTGGTGGTGCGTTCGTACTTTGCATGGGGTTGACCGGGTGATTCACCAACCGGATGCATCACATCCTGCTGCCTCGGGTGTGGGGCTGCATCCTGGTACGGCTAGGCTCCGTGACAATCGACACAGCCATTGTGAGGCAGTTCGACAATCGCGGAGGAAAGATGGAATAGAACAAAGCCAAACCTAATTGAAGTAACGGCTCATTTTTCATTGGTGTTATTTTTAGGCAACAAAGATAAGGTAAATTATTAAGCAGATCACATGACTTGTCACCCCCAGCTAGTCCTGATAGCTTGAGTAATCTATGGATGAAAAAAAATGATGGAAAGTAGCAGCTAATGACTGAAGGCACGGTAATTGCTATGGACGCTTTGTGTGAGTGGACGCTTTGACATTCGGAACACTGCGCTGGGGAAATTGGCTTTTGCATTCCGGAGCAGCTAGAGTCGTTCCTGGAGATAATAACTTTATCTCGGTTAAGAAATACTACGTAGCTGCCAAGTGCCAACCGCGAAATGTGCTAATTATTTTCATGTTTATATATATCCAAATATTGGCCTATCATTCCTGTTTCTTTTTTTACATAAAACAGGCTGGGATGTTTGAATGGACAGATAATCTCGGCTTTGACTCTGTGGGGACTGAGGGGAGGGGCTGAGCCATTGACTGACATAGTTTTTTTCTAGATAACTCAACAAACTAATCATGCGATCAGCCTGGCATTTTCTACTGATTGTCGCTCTCATGGGCCAGCGGTCGCCCCGCCTGACAACCGGTGGATGAGGTCAGGTCCACACCCGGACCCGTAAATCCTCTCCGGGGTGACCGTTTGGGAGGCAGGGGGACTGTCCCAACGGGACGGTCTCGTCTCCGCGGCTCACTGTCGGTGTCCCGCACAGCACAATACCTAAACTATATCCTATATCATCCCACAGCTCTTTAACGTTCTTTTCAGGCCGAAAGAGCCTACTCCCCCCAAAAAAACTCCTTCATACTCACCCTCAGCCTCTTCGTCAAACAGCCAGGAGAGGTAGCTCTGCTTCTCCCTGGTGTTGACAGAGATGAGCTGGCCTCCCTCCATGCGGCAGATGTCGTCCGCCTCCGCCCACGTGTAGAGCATGCGCGTCGGAGGTGCATCACGCCACGACAGGTAGTAATAGGGACGGCCTGTGGACACCACAGAGTCGGCTGATGTCACAGAGGTCCAAAGTGCAGCCTGCAGGGCCGGATATGGCAAATCCGGCCGGGCCGACTCGTAACGTCTGCCCCGCACGAGCCTGTCATGAAATGTGTACTATGTGGGAATGCTTGAAACTCGGAGTCGGAGTTTGCCTTGAGTACCTACCCTTGTTAATTGAAACTATAGGTATGTAACAATCAAATAAAAATAATGTTTGTGATTCTAGGCACTAGGCATATGCTGTGTTTGAGATACCTAAATATGAAAGTTATTAAAAATATCTTATTATTGTTCCTTAGTGTTCTTCAACAGAAAGTGGTTTGCAAATTTCGGAGGACGGTCGGCTCCTTACCTGGTCGGCCGCGGACCTGGCTGGTCACGCCGCGGGTATTGCTTGGACCTTGAGTATTTCCTGCACCTTGAGCGCCGACCGCACCTTGAGGACCAGCCGAAGCTTGACCGCCGCTCGGTCCTTGAGAACTGCCAGAACCTTGAAAACCACCTGCACCTTGCGAATAGCCCGCACCTTGAGCAGCGCCCTGAACCTGATAGTTGTTTCTTCCTTGGTATGCGGGTCGGCCACCGAATGCGCTAGGACTCGTGAAGCCGCCAGAGCCACTGTGTCTGCCGAAGTTACGGTATGCGCCAGAGCTACCAGACGGGCCGGCACCAGAAAAGCGACCGGGTCCGGAGAAGCCGGGGCCGGAGCCGGGGCCGGAGCCGGGACCGCCGCGGCCATTGTACCACTGGGTGGGCGCGCGCGCCGGCTGCTGGGGCGGCGGCGGCGGCGGCGGCAGCGTGGTGGTGGGTGCGGCGGTGGTGGTGGTCTCCGGCGCCGCCTCGGTGGTGGTCGACTTCCTCTTGGACTTCCGTCCGGAGCTCTTGTTTTTCTGACCCACGGCCAGGGCCAGTAGGGCCAGGACCAGTAGTGTCCGGAACGCAGCCGGCTGCCGGGCGCAACACAATTACATTATTCACTGCCTGTGCAATTTTGACAACTCGGTTATCAGCGTGATTTTGAATTTAAAAGTCACTCACCTAAATATCATAAACCAGCATCATTTAAAACGCTACTGTAATTCAATGGCTTATAATTTAAACATGACATTTAAAAATGTAGTGTACGTACAAAAACAAGGACAAATAAAAAGCAGTTAAACAAACAACTAGTGGAGGCCATCACAACAACCGACGTTCAATGCTCGCAGCATCCGTAAAAGATTCACTTCACTGCTAAGTGCTATACCATCCTCTCCTCACAAAGACACACACTTGCGATGCTCCCGATCTGCTAATCAGTCGGAGCACGAGGCGATGCACCTGTCGTCGAACATACCTTCATATCGAGTGCACGGACCGGCTTCGGGACTGGTGTGGGTCGTCTGCCGACGCACCGTTATATACCCGTCCGACGGGAGGCTATTTTCCTGGTCCTCTTCGAGACGCTGCGCGGGGTGCGACACCGGCCCGAGCGGCCGCCGGAGACGGAATAGGTACAGGCCGCGCTGTAGCGACGACGACAAATTGCTGCGCGGCGGGTCGGTGGGCGGATGTTTTCGGATTGGGTGTCGTCTCGATGTTAAGGTCTGTCATGGTCAGGGATATTATTTATATAGTACTTAAACCTGAAAAGCCTTTTTTACAGCCGAGGCCGAGGGAACCCCTCCGCCACGTCCAGATAGGCATACAATATAAATAGAATTCTTGGTCTTTATTATCTTTATTATCTGAGCCGGTCCCGTAGCTCAGTTGGTTAGAGCGTGGGACTCCGCGTGGTGAGAGCACGCGTTCCCGGTTATGACAGTCCGGGTTCGAAGCGCGACGGGCGCTCGACATTTATGGGCCTCCTGACAGGTATGGTTGCGGTTGGTGGCAGGCCGTAGCCAGGCGAAGTCAGCGAGGGGACCGGCCGTGCGCGGCTTTGTGCGCACGTTAAACTTTGGACTCTAAATTCTGCCATAGAATCGGAATTGCGCGATCGGAGGGTAGAGGGCAGGGTCATCGCAACAAGCTTCGCTTAGCGGTGGCTCTGTCCTTGTGAATCCTTCCCATCAAAAGGTTCGGACTAAATTTATAAAAAAAAAATGTGTGTGTGTGTGGGGGGGGAGGGGAGGAGGGGACCGCGCAATTCAGTCGTAGAGCTGTCGGGGGTCGGACTGACCCTCGCCATTGCTTCCACGTCTCCCCTTTGTTCTAAGCCGCAGTTCCGCCAGCTCCGTGTCGATCGGGAGCACTCGCCTAAAATCTTCGTTGGGAAGCCTAGTTATTCTTATATTGACTTACCTAATTTATCTCATGAAGGCAGATCCAAGGCATGAAAGGGGCTCTAGCTACCTCAGTTCAAGTTGTATAAGTTGTTTTATTCTACTACGCATTGGTTTTGATGTCCCGACGACTTGCGCAATGCGCATTAAACTCATCGCAACGACCATGCAACGCGATCAGATGCTTCCCAGTACCCAGCCTGTCAAAATTACCAACGCATATAAATAAGATTTCTTTTATAATAATGTGATCCGCTGATGAGGAATGGAGTTTAAGGACACGCACAATTTAATAAGTTCGATTAGGTATGATCGAAGAATAAGCCGTAAATAAATAAGCGGGGTATAAGGTGCCGGCTCCGGTCACCAATCCTGCTTGGGTTCCGAGTTAAATATCCTGGCGGCTCCGACTCCAGTCTCCAGATAAAATGTATGTAGGTACCGACTCTGGCTTGAAACTCCAGGTAAAATACACCTGCCTACCGGCTCCGGCGGCTTCGACTCGGAACAAAGCATTTACCGACCGGCTCTGGCAGCCACGAAGCCCGTTTCTTCCCTCCAAAATAGACAATAAATCCATAAGTATGGATTTAAGTAAGTATGGATTTTCAGTACTGAAAATATAAGAAGCTAGGTCAATGCCATAAAACCACGACAACAGTCAAACAGAGCGACGGACACAAATCGGAAACCGATCCTTGTACAATGATCTACATCGCTGTGCTACATCGGATCCGCGCGGCAATAAGGCGACGAGACATAAATAGTTATTGGGTATCCCAATTCATGTCATCCCAATTCATGTTAGCTGTTCAAGGAACGTTAGGTACCTCGCTCTCCTGTGAAGGAATATTTTAGAGAACAAGGACAATTGTTTGAAGAGGAAACAATAAGTGTGGCACATTATATACATGACCAGAGAGCCGTTGCACTCAGAGGCGGATCCAGCTTAGAGTTTTTTTTTGGGGGGGGGGGGGGGGGCAAACCATAACAATTTATCGATTCTTTCCATGCGTCGTCCATAGGCGTAATGTTAAAATTATGCCGGTTAGGGGAGGGCAAATGCCCATTTTGCCCCTCCCCCCTGGATCCGCCACTGGTTGCACTGGCAAATAACTTCAATAATTTAAGATTATGATCATTTAAGTAGTGTCCCTAAATGAGCGTGTTTCGTATTGTTTGTAACATATTGACTTTCATGGTGTTCCGTGTTTTTTATACGACCTGTTCGCCAATGAACCTAACAATCACCGAATGCTGCTAATTTTCGGTCGAAAGCTGTTACATTAAACGTTTGGAGCATAGGCGGCGTAACGGGGGGAGGGGGAGGGGCACTGGGGCACCGTGCCCCCTTTGATTTTGGCATTTGAACATTAGCCCATGGGCGTTACATGGAAAGAATGGGACCAAAAGTCGGCAGTGTCCCCCCTTAGTTGAAGGTGTTCCACCGCCACTGATTTGGAGCCAGCTTGAACTTATTTCTGAATCCGTTGAGTTAAGATATGAGCTGCGCTAGCTGCATTAGGTATTAGGCATGTAGGAATATAAATAGGCGTGCTACTTCTACAAACGAGTTCATAAACAAATTGGTATAATAGGACAGTTTGTGTTTAAACATGATGTTTGAAGGCTCTTCGTCGCATTTTGTTGCGTCCAAACAGAGGTTGCCCCGTGCCCGTGCGCAGTTGTGCACTGTTATAGGTAATGGTTGTGAGCAGATACCTACATAAATTAGGAAGGAACGAGCAGTGACTACGCATTTGAAACCAGCATTGAAACGCTGGGTTGTAACTAATGCCTCGAATTTTCCGTGACGATGATCCAAAGAGCAAAGGCACTTGGACCCGCACACATTTGACATTACCGTGAATATTTACCAACAACGACCGATAAAACTCGTGGTTTTCCGTGAGTTGACAGAACTCACTAGTCACTACAGAGTTATACTCGCTCACCCTTCACAAGCTATTCGTTGACTGTGATGGTTGTGGCGCTTATCACGCACTTAGGCGTCGCGTGGCTAATAGTGAGCTCTGAGAAGAGGGTCACACTCGCAGGGACCGTGTGTGCTGCGGCACAGCCTACCCTTCCAGGCAACTGGTGCTTGGTGAGAAACGGAACATCATTCTAAAATGTAAATCAACTCAACGGTACATGCAGTAGTATGAACGAGATGGGTGGACCAATAACTCTCTTTTGGTATCAATTTGGAGACCAGCAATGCATGCTAAGCTGAAGCAAAAGCACTGGACAGCTCGTAACCAAACGCCCATCCATTCAAGAGACCGCCAGCACATTCATAGTCGGGCGTGACGAGGATATGCTCGATTATAACGGCTCTCCTAAATGCTGCCACACTCTGCAGTCAGAACAGTAACTTCACCAGAAGCCAATGACAGGAAAAGGTAAACACAGGAAAAGGTCATGAGTGTCTGCGCCGAATCAGCGCTCATCGGTGATATTAATTCCTGCCTCCTGGGTGAAGGTATCAGACCCATCTCATCTGTTTGAATCCAAACAATTGGTATCGGCCAGCTGGCGATAATGACGCGGTAAACGATTTAGCATTTTAATCAGCTGTCGCAATGACATTATAATGACATTGATTGCTAAGCAGACATCTACTTTGCGAGGTGTGATGGAGTGTTACCTTGATGTCTTTGTCGTTGCCCAATGAATATAGCTTGATGCGAACTCGCTTGGGAGATTAATATGACTGTGATGAAGAGTACCTGCCTCTGCCTACATATATAAACAGTTATTTATGTTATTTATGTTTGTATATGTATGTCATTGTGATCAATCTGACCAGGATTTAGTAACAAAGCGCATATCCTACACTGCAAAAATTAAAACTTTATCCAATATCGACACTACGTAATACAAAAAAAAAATTGTGATAAATGCATGCGGTCAACGCCAACGGAGAATACCATTTGTTTCCAACGTTTGTGAAAACGAACTTTTTCCCATTGTAAACGGAGCAAAACACAAATGCTGTAGATGCATGTCGCGGCATGAAATGTCTTTATTTTGAACAGTGACTCCCACACTTGCATGACAGTCAATGTCAAGTTTTTCATCGTTTTCGCTAAACCGCAGTTTCATGCGGTCGTACTTCCATTCGTGTCCCAGGATGTCCATTCGTGTCCCAGGATGCATGACATGTAATGTGGCTGCTGCATTACATGCTATGTAATGATCGATGTTCCACTGAAGCCCTGCATCACACGAACCACAGGTGACCCTTGCACACAATGGCATTTATAACGTTTCACGCCATTGCCAAAGCCGCGATGAGAACTTGGTTTGCCTAAGTGAAATATGATGATTGGGTTTGGTGGCGTGCCCAACCTCTGAGGGTTAGGTATATCATTGAGCTGTTAGCCTGCTATACCAACTATAATACAAAGTTTAAGTTTGTTATAACTTATAAGGTAAGTGTGATCGCGTGGAGTTATGACTGTCACAAGGAATTTTGTTCAGTCATGGATTATGCAAGCGAATGTCCTTTAGGCATTACTTGTCATGCCGCCACCGTTCCGTTAACTTTTATCCAAGTTCTCTACTCGAGCCAATCGGCCCAGCTGTCTTGCAAAAGCTGCGTTCGCCCACTAATGTAGACAGTAGACTCTCTTTGTTTGATCCATGCCAATACAGGGTGTTGCAGCTAAATTGGGAATTTTTCCCGCTTACACTTAAAGTGGCATAACTCAGTAGAATGAAGAGACAGAGCTTTCAAACTTTGAACGTGTATTGACGCACATGTTCTCTACCCTCTCACTCAATGTGGCCACCATGAGCCTCCTTCACCATCTCCAGGCGGCGTCGGAACGCGCCGCACGCGCGCTGAGCCTCCATAGGATCGATGCTGCTGGCTGCCTTCTTGATGGACTTCTTGAGGCTCGAGATGCTGTCATGGGCACGTGCGTTGGACCTCTCCTCAATCGCGCTCCACATCCAAAAGTCGCACGGATTTAGGTCGGGTGAGTTTGGAGGCCACGTATCCTTTGGGACATACAGAGGGATCTTCCGACTAAGGAAATCCTGCACCCTCCGGGAAGCATGAGCTGGAGCCGAGTCCTGTACAAGTGTGACTTTCTTCAGGTCGTAGTACTTCGCCATCCAGGGCAAAAGCACTTCTTCTAGGATGGCCAGATACTCCTCTGCGCCGATTCTTTCTCCAGCAGGTATGAAGTGAGGGGGCATGACGCGACCGTCGCTCGCGACGGCTCCGAACACCATCACAGAGGCTGGATTTTTGCTTATCATCACTGGTGGAACATCACCGGGGTTCGAGGCGATGACTCTTGAGTTCCGGCGGTTGGCAACTTCGTCTACCACAAACTTCTTTTCGTCCACAAAGACTCTCACGTCTCCTCCATGGTTCTTGAGCTGGTTCAGAACCATCGGGACCCTCTCCTTCCGTAACGCTTTTAGACGCTCCGTCAGAAGGTTCTGCCGTTTCCTACTATACGACCTCATCCCGAGGTTCTCCTTGACAGCCCTGCTAATGGTGCTTTTGCTCACCCTTCGGTCTCGCGCTAGCTTACGCATTGAGACACCTGGTTTGGCCTCAATAGACCTTTTCAAGCCCGCGAGAAACCGAGGATTCCGTTTGCGGTCACTTCGCGGCGCATGGGGACGTCTACTGACATCTCCTCCACCGTCCATAGTAGCGACAGTGCGATATACCGTAGACTTCGGGTATCCTGTTGCGATAACGATCTCTTTCGCGCTTTGTCCAGCGCGAACTAATTCAGCAACTGTACATCTACGCTGTTCCTCCATGACTGTTATCGGTTTTCGTGCATCAAAAATATTAGCACGTGAAAGAGCATTGTTGAAATAGTATCATGTCAAATTTTCAGCCATATCCTCCAAATAACAAAATTGTGATTAGGTTACGAACTTTGTCCCAATTTAGCTGCAACACCCGGTAGGTATTTTACATCTAGGTATGTAAAATGATCAATGCTTAGCAGTGCTATAAATTATAATGTAGGTATCCATGTATAATAAGACCAGTAAAACGCCTTTGGGGCGAAGAACGAGCGAGCGAGATAGTGAGCCCTGCACGTGCAGAAGGGCGAGAGGGTACTTCCAACGGGCTTGTGCAAAACACCCTTCTAACCGGTCGCTAGCGGTGTACCAAATTTGAACGCAATCGGCCCAGCCGTTCCTGAGATCTGGAAGCGGCATTCTGCACGTGCGCACGTGCAAACGGGGTCCAAACTGACTTTTGCACGGCACCCTACTAACCGGTCCCCAACCGTGTACCAAATTTGAGCGCAATCGGCCCAGCCGTTCTCGAGATTTGGAAACGCCCCCTGCACGTGCGCACGTGCACAGTAGCACCCTAACCGCAACACATGGGAATGCATTGCCTGGTGGGTGCCTACCTGTATGCCAAGTTTCAGCGAAATCGCCCCAGTAATTACCGAGTTACTGAAATTGGAACAAATTTGGCACCTCTTATTGCTGTATTTTGCACGTGCAGTGGGGGTCACTCACATAGATGAAGAGTATCCGACCTTTGGTAGAAGGGATGCAGCTACCCTATAAAAATGACCGCAAGACAATAGCTCAAGCCGCTGCTGAGATATGGGCCTCTCAAAATCATTACTTTTGCAAAACTGCTTGAACACCCTTGCCTTTTCACGTGGCACGTGCCACGGCGGTCACTGAGATGTATCAAAAGTAGTCAATTGCGGGGTAGAAGGGATGGGGCTACCCAGCAAAAAAGACCGCAGGCCATTTGGTCCAGCGGTTGCTGAGATATAAGCCTCTCAAAAGCGTTACAGGCCGGGCCGGGCCGGGCCGGGCCGGGCCGCTCATACTGAGATTTTTCCGTTATACTCGTATTGAAAAGACTTCGCTGCGCTCGCTCGCTCGTAATCAATTTGGTGCAGCAAACAAACGTCCAAGTGCCGGGATGTTCGATTCATGAAGGCGGAACTGATGACCTGCTAGGAAACATGGATTTGTTATCGATATTTAGGTAGAATCAAGTACCTAACCAAAGAGCACACTACAGGAAAGTCAAGATGCTTCCCTGCTTTTTCTGGCGTCACTTCCGTTAAAACTGACGCATCCGTCATTGTAAATGCGCAGTGACTGGAGTGAACGCTGACACGAGGAGATAGAGAGAAGTTTTGATCAAGCCAGATAAGAGAACCTTTAAACTCAAAGGGGTTCACACACTCACTCGTGCAGATGTGCAAATAGGATTAAAACGATTTCAAGTGAATAACGGAAAGCAACGAGTGTACCTATTTAGATTGTGAGCTGCAACTTAGAATATATTTAAAAACGAAGATAAAGCTTATTTTTAAAACGCGCAACTTTATTTTCTTGTCGATGTATCATTTCATTTCCTTACACCACCCTATTCCCTATTGCCATACTGCAATTAGTTAACTGTACCTAATCTTGATACCGTCATCGAAAATGATATTGGGATTTGGCCCAACATAATTCCTACCTAAGAAGGCAAGTAACTCTGAAGGTCTCGACATAAAACATTATTCTAAAGTAAGTCAAATTCAGTTTAACAAGTCTTAATAGCTAATTTCTTTTGAGTTCAATGCTCTTGCTCAATGCTCATGATAATTGGTATTAGAACAGCCATGCTGAGCGATTCATTTTACCCATTCATTCATCCGACCATAGTTATATCGGTTATATCTATCCGTTAATTCATTCTTATACTTCTTATTCTTCATACTTATTTACATTCACTCTCACACGCTCAGGACTGCACTGCAGCGTTGGAGTCTATCAGAGTTGGAGTCGGTCCGAGTCGACAGTTCAGTAATAAAATCTAGCAGGCAAACAAAAACCAGTTCTGTCTGCAGTTAATGTCAACATTGTTTATTTGACATTGATAGGTCACGCTCTTATATATACATTCGTCTGTAAATTTTAACGAGTGTCCCATTTTTCTATCGGCAAAATATACCTACCCTGACATGCTAACATCGATATTGGATAAATCAGACTATTGGTCGGGTGCTGTTTTGCCTACCGGAGTTCTTGTTTCCTGAAGCTGTCAAACCAGAGGTGCCGCAAAGGTATCGACTATCGACCGAAACATATTCCCGACAATTTCTTGTGCGTAGTGGACGCTTCTTACTTCTTGGAACTAAACATCTGCGTTACGACGCTACCATCTGCACTATTATGCTTTCCGGAGATGCTTTTCCGGAATCTGTGTACGTTTACCTGAGGTGACCCTCTTGTCAACAGCGTTCGGCTGAAGTCTCATGCAGGCACCACACTCCTGCGTCGGTCTAAGCTTTCTGTATTTATCGGCTAAACTTCAATCATTATTAACATCACCGTTGTCATCTGTTTTGTTGGCCACATACACTGTAACACTACACCCACATGCTGGAGAATCACGGTCCGAATATATCAACTCTCAGATTATACCCGGATACACGAACACGATTATATCCCCGCCCACACATACGTTTCAGCTCGAGTGCCCGCAAGCACGCGCGATCACTGCATGATTCTCGACGTCCGCCGCGCGGCGTGACTCACCTCACCCAGCTCACCAGGGGGTGAATACGCCTCTGACATGAAGATTCACGATGATCTGAACTATCGTACATACAGGGTGTCCCATAAGTTCGTTCTCACCTTATATTTGCATGTAAAACAGAGTGCATTGCGTTTTGATATGTTTATAACCCCTCAATGTGCTCCCCATTTCATAGGCAAACACATGAATACATGCTGCGACATGCCAACCGGCATGTTTGGCAGCATAGCAGGCTTGAAGTTAGCCCAGACTGACTTGGCATGCGCCGTGAGCTCCTCAATGCTGGAACACCGCTTCGCTTCGACGAGCCTCGATTTCAATATTCCCAACACATTTTTATGAAATTTGGATCCGATGAGTTGGCTGGGATGTGATCTTACCACACACGCCTATCACAGTCTCCTGGCACTGCTTCTAAGCTTTGCTTGACCTGTGCACTGATGCACTGTCTTGCTTGAAGATGGGCCTACGACCTCCCGGATGCCATTTTCTCCTAAAAAATGTGGTCATACTTGCGGTTCGAGTTATGCTAGAAAGCTGAAACTCCTACTAGATCTTCTTGGAGAAGCATTCTGCGTCCCAAGACTGTTTCTGGAGTATCAATCGCAACGTGATCAGTGTCTGGACGCATATTACCCCACATTACCGTGACCCTGGCCTTTCGCATAGGAATAAAGCGGGATGACATAAAAGCCTTTTCCGTCGCCCATATGGGACCGTTTTGGGGTTTGGACCGGTGTTTTATCTCGAGCACGGACTAGGTAGTCCAGATGACCACATTGATGTCATCGGCCCTCCAGTTTTTTTTTAGCCTCAGGCATAACGAAACACATGTTTGGCCATTTTAAGATGTTTTTGACTGTTTTGAGCCCTCCGGTAAGTAGAGCTTAAGTCACCTTGAGTTAGGTACCCCGAAATGATACTCTTAGACAGCTGGTAATGCATCCTGAAAAGCCTGTTTACCAACTTTCTAACGCTAATACCTTTTTGACGGCCATTTTGGCGCCACACAGTTTTGGCCACATGGCTCACTCGTGAAAGCTGACAAAAAAGAGCATAAACTTGCAGCGATTGACTCCCGACAAATCATCGGCGTCACTTGTTGACTGTGCCTCCAGTTAGCGACAGACATTGGCTACATACTGGATGGCCTCAATCACCCTCAACCGTCGTGAATGGCCCAGTGCGGACTAAATACCGAGACGTTCCCGTATCGGAGACCTCTATGTTGCGGCGTAAGCCGTCTCCACAGGAAGTGAACTATCTGGCAAAAAATATTTTGTCTAGACGAATTAGTTACGGTGGAGCACATTCACAGTTGCCATGGCAACCCCAAAAGCTCAGTTACAAAATAAATTAAGCGTGGCTTTAAATAAGAGAGCCTCTAAAAGAAAAATTTAGGTGAGAAGGAACTTATGGGACACCCTGTATTTGAGTGTGCGAGCGGTCACAGTCTGTCTGCACTATAAGCAATACGATATTTACATGACAATGCAACGAGATAAGGCTATGGCCCTAAGTTCCCTTCTTCGGTCGCAGAGCACCTCAGGTCTTCTTAGTCCCGCGTTTCGGCGGAGCCTTTTTGTTAGTCTTGGGCTGATCGGGATGGCGGGAGCCGCGATGTTTTCGGTGGCGCCTTGGGCCGACACGGAGCTGAGCGCGGACTTCCGTGCTCAGATCATCGGCATAGTCATTTGCCGTCCAAACTTTGCCATTTTGCCGCATGTACTCTAGCAGCGACTGCATGTCTTTGTCTTGGCTCATGAGTTTCGTGTCGCAGACGATCACCAGCTGTCGCCGGGCGCGAGTGATGGCCACGTTGATGCGGCGCTTGTCTGTCACGAAGCTCAGGCCTGGCTTCTTGGATATGACCAACGACACCACGATGGCCTCCTTTTCGCGGCCCTGGAAACCGTCCACCGTTTGGACTTCAACCTCTTCCAGATAGCGCCACCATAAAAGGTCACGCACTCGGGTGCTCTGTGCGCGGTATGGTGTGATGACGCCTATCTGGTCCTCGGACATGCCGGCATGCACCAGGGCACCCACGTGCGCTGCCACGATGTCAGCCTCGCCATGGTTGCTTCGCGAGCCAGCGTGGTCGGGTCTGGCCTCGGTGAGCCCGTAGCCGGCCGTGTCGATGAGCACCAGGGTATGCTCCGTGTCGTCCGTGCGGCGCACGCGGGGAAGATCGGTCAGACGGTGATGGCGCACGGCCGGCGCCGCCTCCAGACGACCGCCGTAATGCTGCTGCGACGGCCACTGCTGGATCAGCTCGTGCATCCGGTACTGGGTGCAGAGCATGCGCACCACCAAAGCCCCGTGCCGCTTCATCTGACGCTCCATCAGGGAGACTTCCAGGCCGAGGTTCGCCGCCGGCTTGCTGATGATGGTCGGAGGCAGCTGGCGGTGGTCGCCGGCCAGCAACAGCTTCCCGGTCCGCTGCGCTGCCAGCCAGCAGGCAGCCTCCACCGACTGGGAGCACTCGTCAATCACCACCAGGTCAAACGCCCCCAGGCCCAGGCGTCTGGGTACTCCCAGCAAGCCATCTCTACTCGCGTTGGCTAGTGTGCAGAAGACAACTTTGGACTTCTCTATGGCTAGTTCCTTTCGGAACCTGTTGTTATTGTCATGACGGCTGCTCCCACCATTCTCAAGTGACTCGGCCACTTTGTCTAGCCAAAAGTCCAGCAGGGATTCCCTAATGCGGGCTGGATGTCCGAGACGCACCATGCTGAGGTCAAGATTGCGGGTGGAATTTTTCTTGTCCAGCCGTTCGAGCATGTTGTCCACGGCCATGTTAGAGTGGGCGCACGCTAGAATGCGACAGCCCAGCTTTAGATGTTGCTGGATTATCTCGACAATGGTGGTGGTCTTGCCAGTCCCGGGCGGACCATGGATGACGGCCAGATGCTTCTGACGGACAGCGAACTCCACAGCGTCGCGCTGAAGCTGGTTCAACCCGACGTTGTAGAAGTCCAGTTTTCCGTTTGCGTTGACGAGCTTCGCCGGCAGTTTATCCGCGGATTCTACGGGCCACTCACCAAACAGAACTGCTCGCAGCCGGAGAGCTCTCCCAGAGATGCCATTAAGTCCCCTCATGATGTAACGCATCTTCTTGTGAATCGAATCGTCATCCACTCTTTTGATATCCACTACCGTGCCCTGAGTGAGTTTTCCACCATTATCCATGACGATCGTGATGTCAGCATTGCTAACCTCGTACACCACTGCCTTCTGAGTTGCGCTGAATTCCTCACGGTCCGCTCTGGATGCGGTCACCTCCACTGGCTCGCGGGCACGAATGTTGTGTTTGGGCAGCATCCTCTCCTCCACGGCGGCTACGACCGACCCGTCCTCGGTCCCACCGCCCGGTCCGAGCACCCACAGCCGCAGACCTTTAGGCGTCAGCGCCGTACCCTCCACCAGCAGGCCCTCCAGCTGGCCGAACTCGGCCAGCTCCCTCTGACGGTGCAGCACAGCATCGTGATCCAAGCCCAACAATAGCAGATGCAGCTGCTGCAGCTCCTCGCAGGTGAGCGGAGATGACGGCGACTTCTGTTGTGACGAGAAAGGAGGAGATTAAAAAGCTAGGTAGATAGATAGATAGATAGAATAGAAAAGACAGAGGGAGATAGAAAGGGAGCGGGAGAGAAGGAAGAGAGAGAGAGAGAGAGAGAGAGAGAGAGAGAGAGAGAGAGAGAGAGAGAGAGAGAGAGAGAGAGAGAGAGAGAGAGAGAGAGAGAGAGAGAGAGAGAATGGGGAGGGAGAAGGGGAGAGGGAGAGAGAAAGAAACAGATGGGATGCCTGGTTAGTTGTAAACAGTGGCGTAAGCCAAAGGGACACTATAGTGTCTTTACTTTGGGAGTCTTTACTTTGGCGTTACTCCCAAAGTTTTTTTCGCACATTTTGGCGAAAAACCTTAACTGCGTGGCATGAAAGTGAGGCTTAACTTACGGAGCCTATTCCAGCCTTGCCTTCTCGTGTTTCGCACGTAATGTCCCACTAGGTCATGGGATTTTTTATTTTTGCAGTGAACTCCCATTTTTGCCGTTTCCTTTGCATTACCATTTTATAAATTGAAGATTATTAAATAAGCAGTTCAGCACTATAAATAAGCATATAATTCTAATAAAGTGATTTGTAACACAACGTAAAAGGACCCTGAAATGCCACCGACATAGGTAAATACCTTTTCTGGCACATTAGATACCTACCTCGCAAACAAATGTTTTGTGCCATTTCTTTACCTTCCCTTCACCAGGGCCTCGTTTCATAAAGCGAGTCCGTAACTTACGGCGGCTTTTGGTCTTGTACTGCAAGTGCATGTGAAGCGATGACGTTAGTTTGAATCGTTGAATTTATTCATCTTGCAAGCAAGAACAGAAGGGAGAAGGGGAAATAAATTTATCGCTTTACATGCACTTGCAATCAGGGATGCGGAGCCGGAGCCGGAGCCGGAGCCGGAGCCGCCGGAGCCGGCATATTTTGCCCGGAGCCGGAGCCGGAGCCGGAGCCGTCAAAAAAGGGGCGACTCCGGCTCCTTTTCTTAAGAGGAAACATAGATAACAGTAGAACAGGAAACAATTATTTACCTAGTTCGGTTTGACAGTAGGTACAAGGCGTAATACAATGTGGTATTCAAAATAGCCTTGTTATACAAATACAGAAGCAGCGTGTACCAATCCCATCGCCTTTTTTCTTCCACCCGTATTTAATTGATCGCATAGGGGATGTACTGGGTAGAAGCCGGAGCCGGAGCCGCCGGAGCCGGATCATTTTACTCGGAGCCGGAGCCGCCATGACATTTCACCCGGAGCCGGAGCCGAAGCCAGAGCCGATTTTTTTCTCCGGAGCCGGAGCCGGAGCCGGAGCCGTCTGAAATTTCCACGGCTCCGCATCCCTGCTTGCAATACAAGACCAAAAACCGGCGTAAGTTACGGACTCGCTTTATGAAACGAGGCCCAGGAAAACAAATGGAATGTAATACATACCTATTACTATGCTATTACACAAACTAAGCTAATCTAATCAGCACCCTCAGATGCGGGTAAGTTGGTAGGTACCTACTTCAGAGGTAAGACGAAAAATTTACCTTTGTGCCGCCGCTAGGGCCGTCCGGCTGTGAATCAGTCATCTTGCGAACTCGGACGTCTTCGGTGCTTGTTCGGACGATATTTTATTTCTATGCGATATTTGGACTGCACACTCAGTCAGCGATCCATACGCCCAACTTCTCCTAGCTTTTGAATGCCATACTCCCAAATGGAGAAAAGTAGCCTTATGAAGACCAACTACAGGTGCATCGCTATACAGCGTCAGTCACCAAATGTCAATGATCAATGATGCCATCTGTATCAATCTCTTCGAGAACCTTTTTATCTCTCTGACCCTTGCCGTCACGGCGGCACTGATAACGGTCACGTCATGGAGCTATCTGCAGTTCACGGATACTTATAGGCACTCCACCTGTTCTGCCTACATCCGAAACAGCCCGTGCACGAGGACAGGTGCTAGTCCAATCGGTGAAGGTCGCGGTCGGCTCTGACAAGGGTCATCCGCCATCCCATCCCCGGCTGTCGGAAGATATATATATCTCAATAGGGGGAGGAGTTTAACCCTCGCCGGCCGAGGGGGGGGGGGCGGGTGCCGCCCCCCCATAGGGTTTTTTCGCGATAGCTCCGAACACGCTGGCGATAGAGAGCTGAAACTTGGCATACCTGACCTTTGATCCAAGCCGCATCTTTTGACACCAACCGCATTTTTGGGTCAGGTCAGGTCACTGACCTATGACGTCATAAGTGAACCTCTGCACGGTCTTCAGATGTCGCAACTTCGCAACGCCCTCACTGCCAGAGGAGATGTCACAGGGAAATGAAACTTGCAGGATCTAGTATCCATTATGAGTCTCACAATTTGTATATCTCGGATTTTTCCTAAAGGTCATATGAGGTCAGGTCATTTTCGTGACCTCACCATTATAAGTCAATGGGGAAAAATTCAAACTGCTATTCTGGCGCCGGGAACGATCTCCAACTATCTCAAGCACACAGAATCGTGATTTGATGCACTCCTTGCAAGGTTAGATGCGTCACTTTTGCAATGTTGACCTTGCGTGACGTCATTTATGACGTCATCAAGGTCATATTAGTTTTTCGTCAATAACTCTTGATCAAATTGAGCTAGCGAGTCGGGAAAGCCACCAATGGACTCAGAAAGACCTGCCGAATCGAATGATATGCGACATGACCTCTTTTGACCAACTTCGTGACCTGGGGGTGCTGACCTGACCTTGACCTGAGGTCAACACCCCAAGTTGACCTGACCCGGACAAAAAGTATATCATTCGACGCGCCTGAGCGAGGCGAACACGATGCTGCCAAAATCGCGGCTCTGCGGCCGTTTTTTGCGAAGTTATTCACCAAAAACTAAACCGTACCTTGGGGCACTTGACCTGACCTCAGAAGTCACCGGTTGACCTAGGACCTTAAAATCGGGTACCAATCTCTGCGTCTCGTAACGGCGCACACGCTCGTTTTTTCCGCGACGCGCTAGCTCCACCAGGGGCGAAACGGCGAGGGGGGGTCGTACCCGCCCCCCCCCTCGGCCGGCGCGTATGTAGAAAACCAATAGGTCCGGCGAGGGTTAAAAGACGGTGATGGTCTGTCAAAGATTCTTAAAAAGGACGCCTAGGCTTCGTAGATTTATCAATAGTATTCCCAGGCTGCATTCCGACGATGCAGGGTTTGCGTCTCAACTGAATAACTTATTATTAAAATTACAATCGTACGTACGTAGTGAGTTGTGAGCTGTGTTAGGTAATCTGGATCACAGTGGCCGAGAAACCTGATCGAAACAGGCTTCGATCTCTACCGATTTCCCTGGGTGCTGTGTGTGTGTGTGTGGGGGGGGGGGGCAAAATTCCCCGCACAAGACCACTCTGAAGTGTTTATCGTGATGCAGAGCGTATCGAACGGGATGTGACGGGGCTCCACCAGAGACCGATCGGCTGAAGAGACCCACCGAGTGTTATCAGTACATGCCTTTTACCTACCGGTGGTATGTGTGGGGGCGCACGGGATGAAACATGCGTCGCTGGCAAGGCGCTATAGGCTCTTGATACTGACGTATGTACTTAAAAGCTATGCAGACCCCTCACTCATGATGCATCTTACAAATATTTGCCAATGTCAAGTGACTCATCACAAGTGACAACTGACACATGGTATGTGAGGCGCAACACCAAAGATCAACTGTGCAAAGTGTGGTAGTAAATGTGTCTCCAAGGATTCGGTAGCTGCTTCGATAGATCCTTACACTCACATATATGTTCGACCACTCGGGCATGTACATTGTGTAATCCCAGATGCACTTTTTATAGAAAAATGACCCTTTTGCTAGCAATTCCAAGACATGGTCCACATACGCTAAAGCCGGATAGATACTCGGAAATACACCTTAGCGCCGCTAACCCTCTTCTTGCATTGTGGTGTTTATTATCACAAAGCAAGACACCGAAATGTAAAAATAAAATAGTCAGCCCGCCGTGAATTCCTATACGACAAGCCACAGCGTCACGAGCAGCACCTTTCCACAGAAGATGTCAAGGAAATCCGATGAAAAGGGCTCATGCATTACGCGATTACAGCTAAGAAACATAGCAAACTTTTCCTGTTGTTTTATTTAACGAAAACAACACTTCCGACGGCGAGTGACAAGGTAAACAAATGCATGGTCAGTCAAGACTACCCAGAAAGTAGTAGAAGGTAAGCAAGGCTTTTCTGTTTTTCTTGCGCGACAGACCTCTGATAGATAGAAGTCCATACTTGCATTTATTTTTACCGGAAACATACAACATCGCGCATAACACTGGCGATGGTACATACCTTCCTGCGCTTTAAAGGCCTAAAGATAGGTAGCAGGCGAAGGTGACTTAAACTCATGGACTCATGGCGGGCGAAGATGACCTTAACTCATGAACTCATACCTAATCACAATAGAGACCATTTCATACAAACTTACATGTAAGGCATCGATTTATGAATGCATGTTCAATATCCGAAATGGTCACATATTTTTTTAGAAGCACAAACGCATTGACGTTAATTTAAATACTTAACTGTCATCATTTAAGACGGTTACCACTTCATGGAAGTGTTTTACGATGAGCGGGTTAATGAGCCATGTTAAACGTAAAACCTGTCAAAAACTTTGTTAAAATAAATGTATTCGTTACGTTCAACAAATAATGTACTGAGCCAAGCAAACAATACAATTTCCAGAGCGCAAGGAAGAACTCGACGACTTAAATAACGATGTTTGTATCCTTGCCTAAAAGCAACGACAGGAAACAAAATCGCAATAATCTGAAGCATCATCTGTCACTTCTGTGACACTGAATGCCTCCAACAAACAGGCGAGTGCAGCATTGCATCATCTCCAATACCATAATTGTACTTCTTATCACTTTGACGTAGAACATAAGACTCACTATCGTCACCATCTGTTAGTTCAACGTCACACGTCACTTTCAGTCACGGTGGGCCAGTTCGCACCGTTACAAGCTTCCCGAATTCGATCACAGCCGACGTCGTGGTCGCAGCCGGTTAGGATAAAAACCCTGTCACAACATGGATATCGTCGACGCCACATTGCGCACGCTTCAGGTAACCGTGTTTAAACCGTCGCTACAGTCGAATCTGGTGAAGACCGATGGTGTGCGCCTGACGACTGGTGACCACACAACAGAGGTCGGTGAGGTCGAGACCGAGCACCGAGGATAGCTCGTAACCCTGCGACAGAGGGAGAAAGTGCTCTAAAAAGAGAAGGGAGTAACCAGCTATCACGTCATTTTTTCAATGTCAGCAGCCGTTCGATTGCTGGTAAACCTCGCCGTCAGCTAAAATTCAGTTACTTGCAAAATAAACTTTTACCACTGAGATGTTCGTACGAAAGTTTATGATTACGGCGCTATTGTTCAGTCAAAATCCGATAGAGATAAGTGCTCACTGTCAGTCCGAGAAACGGATGAATAATGACATTGAAGATGATTTCATGGTACACGCGTAGATAAAAAATGTACCCATGGGTACGTAAATAGAGCTTTAAGAAGCGCGTTTAATAATATCCCGTCGCTCCCGTTCGATCGCCAGTACTTACATTAATCCGTGGTGCTAATTATAACTGAAATATCGACACCTTTTTTTAAACCCCACAGCTGCTCTCCAGTGAATTTCCGGGAGACACGAAAGATCTCCTTTTAAAAGTGTCCAATCGTCCGATCCTGATCAAATATGTGTGTTCGTAGACCTGTTCTGGTATTGCTTTATCTGCCAAGACAGACAAACTTGAGAAAAATCGAGTGATTGCACCTTTTTTGAAGGTCTCTAACCAACTTGTCTGAAATTCACCGAAGAACAAATGTGGGGTTTAAAAAAAGGTGTCGATATGACTAACTAACTAATAGCCCGTTACTCTAACTAAAGGGCTGATGTATGCATATTATCGCCTACTGGCATTCAGTATAATCCCAAGGGTAGCACGGCAGCTGACCTGAACATCAGCTCTCTGGAATCGATGTATTTCATGCCCAAGGTCATATACAGATTATGCCTATGTTACATTATACGCCAATGCAGCATACAAATACATATCTTATCCATGCACAGACGCACTATCTTATCCATGCACAGACTGAGGTTAATGCTATAACTACTGTTTTTATTGTCGTCAGACCATACATCAACGCGAACCTCAGCCACTTCTAGCTGTCAAGTGCAAACCTTCGAGACCATTTAAATCGACCACCAAAAACACGACTGCCAAGGACTGCATGCCGTGCACTCCTTGGTGCATATAGCCTTTTCTGTCAGGAAAAAAAAACAACTAACCACCAAGCGCTTTCATTGGAAATATAATGCGTAGGCGTGTGTTAAACCGGTCGCGTAAATGCCCAACCACAATCGTTGACATAATCACGCGTGCAAACCCTCGTCATTTCGAAGATAATTTTTTAGAAGAAGTGCGATGGAAATGTCCGGGAAATATCGACGGTACACATGGTTTCGCTCTTCCTTTAACATTAAAGATCGTCAGTGATAACGTACATCGATTACATTCCAATTTCCAACAAAAGCCAACGCACGAAATGACACCCTGGATCCCACAACTAATTGGTATACATATGCATTATGCAAAATACATTTTTCTGGCTTTGATGCATACATATTTGGACAGCCTCCTCGTGCACGAGGTAGTCGCCGGCCGAGCCTTGTTTTGGGCAGCTGACCCTCTGTTTTCGGTCATTAGATATGTGACTAAGTTGATAGCGACAACGG